TTCAATTTGTGCAAAAAATGCTCAAAAAACTATTTTTAATGTTTTCATACTCTTGAAAAGCAAACAATCATCCATTAGCAATAAAGAATTTTAACTCTCAAAATCTAATAACGCCGTCATCGGCCCATTAGCTGCCACCGCAACTATCTATATTTGTTTTTAATATCTCACCCTTTCAGATCTCATTCGATCTCATCAAAAGACTACGTGCTTTTAAAAATACCTCTCCTTATTTCCCAATTCATACGACAAAGCTGCAATAATGAACCTGCGACTTGCAACCATAATCCTGACCTGTTATTCTTCCTACCTGTTGTATCATATATTCCTTTCGGCAGAAGAGACCAGAATAATAGGTTGTATGCATAATGTAGATGGGTATCTATAGGAACTTTTCTGTGATTATTTCAACCCTCTAATTACTTTTTCTTGCTCCATTCCCTTTTTTTCCGGACAGTTTGACCAAGGGTAAGGAACTCTCACATAGGTAAGGACAACATTTTAGTTCAAATAAAAGAGACTATTAGCATTGAAGTTAAATTTAACTTGAAAACAGCACGTGCCCCGAAATTTTGGCGTATGTAAAATTAATCATGTTTTTCGGCCTGCTGGTGACAGACAATTAAAGATATGATCGTCGCAGATAAACCGTAATCAGGAAGTCCAGAAAAAGCCTGAAAAAAAAAAGGATTCAGGCTTCGGCGGGGTTCGAGCCTGTGTTTGTCAGTATTACTTGTACTCTGGTATGGCTTGACTAACAAAAGTCCCTATCATGTATGAACCGGGTAAAACGAGTGTGATATAAGGTAAACATTTTTAATAATGGCGTTATCATATTTGATATATCTCTTCACCGCTCCACAAGCTTCTTTCCCAGGAATGTAACGAGACAGTCCACTTGAGTCAGATTGTCCGGTCAATATGGTTAGGACACAGGATATAGTTTTCACTGTAAACACAGACCGATTAGCGCGGGGGTTGAGATAGTCCTACAATATACCGTTGGAAAAAAAGCGTGCATTAGCTTCTAACATGTGGTCGGGCATTTTTAAACGCAGCTTAAATAATGCTTTCAGTTACATCAGATTCACCGCAAATGAAAACGGAAACTTCACACGACTTCCCTTATCACCTACGTCGAGTGAACCACATAAACTCAACGGTTAGTCTACGGTTTCAACAAAACGATCTTTAATACTGAGAAAACGAAGAAACAACCCATTCCATTTGTTCAGCGTAGTTCTTAAATACTACGTTGTTTACACACTACAGTTTTCAGTTATGTCCTGTCTCCAGACGATACAGACTTCCTTAAGTGTATGGAGATTAAGGTTTGGGTAAAATTACCACCGAGATAAAATGACTTTTGCTAACAAAAATTTAATAAAACAATGTATTGAATACGCTTAAGTCTACGTTTGAAAACGATAACTGATGTCCGGTAAAGACTTCGATAATGGCTTCCAAACACACGAAGCATCCTATTCAATAGTTATTCAAATTCAATACTCTATTTTCGCTCCTGTTTTTTCTGAAGTTACTAACTTTGTTAACTATCTTTCTTGTAAGTGGGTATTTGCTCCCTGAAAATTCATACTGCGAAACCCCTTGTTGGGGAGTATGCATTTTTTACAATCTTTTATTAAAGACATCATATGTTGATGGCAGTCGTTACCTATCGGTACACAATAACCTACCATCAATTAATTTTTCTCTTTCATTAAGCTGATTAAGTAATGAAGAGTTGAATTTTTCCACAACAAATAATGTTCTGCGACATTTTGTGTTAGCGACGTATTTTGCAATAACCTACGCATTCAGTTTTGGAATTACGGTTGCGGCATTTTGTAATAACGGCGCATTTTGTGAGAAAAGCTGCGGCGTCAGTTAGAAATAATAATACATATTGCACCATATTGTAATAAAGGCGAGCTACACTGTTTTTAATTAGCGCTATAGCACTTTGAACTGCTCGTCTGTTTACGCAATGTGTGACAAAATTCTAATATGTTTCTCGAATCTCGCAACTCAATACTGAATTTTTCAAACTTGGGTACCTGTGGTTTCCCTCTTGCGAATGAAGACTGAAATAAATAACTAAATAACTTTAACTTTGGCACAGACACATAAAAACAAATAGGAAAAAATGGCATTATTCAATTAGTGACCAGGTATAAGTATTGGGCCTCCTTACTTGGATATGGCTTGTTTCATTTCAGTGTCTTTTTTTCGTTCGTACCTCTCCTTATATAAATGCCGCAGCTAGTATTGCAAAATGTGTAGGTTATTAAAAAATGCTTCCTTATTACAAAAGCTGCCGATCAGCAATTATTCTTAATGGCATATGATTACATATAAAATAATTAAGGTTTTTAAAAAAATTTTATGGGTTCTCGATCTCCCAATTTTAAAGGATTAGCTTGAAATTTGGAGAGCAACCATGGAAGACACAAATATCTTAAACGTGGCATTTTGGGAATATTCTGACATTCAGAGACCAATGAAGATGGAACAGGGAGAGCCCTCGTCATGTATTAAATTTACAGCTTTCGCTGGTTGAAGTACTAATCACAACCATTGTTCTTCCTTTCTCGTGACTTAGGTATTTCAATGCACCAATCAGCAGTCAGAAATGAAGAGGGTAACTTGGAAATTTGGAAATTCTAGCCCATAAAATGGAGGCTCCGATGTTAACATTGGATTTCAATAAATATTCAAGAGTTATTTAAGTTACAGGCACAAAGATTTTGCAAAATGTGAGGAAAATACATGTGTTGAAAATGTTCTTTCCGTTTTAGATTCTCCCACTGTGTCATAATGGTATTTCAGTCTGACCTCTGTGACCATTACTGGGCACCATTTGCAACTTCTGTCACCACAACAACGGTATCTGCCATTTTAAGCATCATAACTGTACCCGGTAACCTACTTATTTGCTGGGCCGTTCTGTGGAACCCGACGAAAAACCTCAAAACTCCCTTTAACTACTTGGTGCTCAACCTCGCCATTGCAGATCTGCTTGTTGGAACTGTAACTGAGCCTGTATTTGTCGGATATCACGCAAGCGAGGCTCTGAAACGCCCTGTCCTTGGTCTTAGATGGGTGGTGTATGTATCATATTTTATGAGCTCAACTGCATCAGTTTTAAGTATACTGGCTCTAGCTGTCAACAGATACAAAGTGGCAACATCAAACCGCATCGTACGAGGAAAGGCTTCCAGTACAATCGTAACGTCAGTTGTTTTGTGGATGTTTTCCCTTAGTCTTCCATTACTATACCTGGCAGTGGGATTCTATCTTCTAGCTTTCATATTTGCCAATACAGCGGTCGTGATTAGCATCTTTGTTCTACTATTTGTGAACTTCAGTATCTATCGGAGTATTCGTCAACATGAAAAGAACACTGAACATATTAGAAGCAACCGTGATCGGCAAAAATATCTTAAACGTGAACAGAAGATAACGATGTCCTTTCTGTTTATTATCGTGTCATTTTTAGCTTGTGGCGTGCCTTCGCTTGTGATGGTCTACATAATTAACCTGTGTAACTCATGTAGCTGTGTTCTTATCCATTGGTTTCGAGATCTGCAGTATTTGTTCCTGCTGCTCAATTCCGCTACAAATCAGTTTCTATATGCTTGGCGAATGCGTTCATTCCAAACAGCATTTTTAACAATTCCCTTTATTAGGTGGGCAGGTAGAAAATTGGCTGGAAACAAAATTGATCAAGTGACCGCAACTCACACAAACAGCGTGATGGACGAATCTACGAACAAGCAGGTCGGGAGAGAAGGAAACTTATCGGCTCACGGCGAAAAAGAGTCGCAAATCACGGATCTTCCTCAGCTAAATTCCATTTTCTCAAAGCATGAAGATTAAGCAAGAACTTAATATTACATCGTGCTGAGGTACTTAGCGAGGAATACCATAGAAGAAGCGCAAGGGGAATCGAAAAAACAAGTATTAGCTCAGTTTAATGCAAAAGCAAAGGCCAAATTTTCTGGTTTCGGCTTTAATGGACGCGATTTCATCGACTTTCTTCATGAAACTGTCAACGAGAAATACAGACCTTCATTTTTGATCGTCCGAAGGCATCGGGACTTAAAATAGAGTCTAATAAGTGGTGAAATGACTAATATATTTATACCACTTCCACCGACACTGAGGAGAAATATTATCATAGTACATACCACCCAAAAATGTGTCAAAATTCCGTAAAATGCTCGGAAATTAAACCTGTGACGCACGATTTTGTCTTTTCGGCTTCTCGGAGGTGAATAGGACTTTCTAATCACTTCCAAGCTAACCAACCAGTACGTGTGATAAGCGCTATTTACCTCTCTGATAAATATCACTTTCCAGGATAGCAAACAAGATGGGTACATAAATGGCTATGAACGACAGAAAGATGCTCTAAACAAAGCTCAAGCAATTTGAAATCTGCGTATACCTGCGAACCTTTAACTTAACCATCAAGGGTTTGAGTTGCTGTTACTGCTGTTTTTCAGTACACTCTTGATGACCAACATTGTACATAATTTAGTTTTACTACGTTTTAAACCAATCTGCGCAACGTGTTGACAACGTATTGAAGGTGGTTGGGGGTAGGCAGGTTGATTTTAGGGGGGACCTTTCCTCAAAGTGTTGCTGGCCAGATCCTTTAATTCCTTCAGGTTATCACTCTTTTGACATGTGCCCTCACACGCCTTCTTTACCCACTTCTTTGAATTTAAGGGTAAGCCATAAGTAGTTCAAATGAAGAGAGCACGATGAGTAGCCTGGCCTGCAGCAAATTTTCTACCCGTAGCGATTTAAAATTGATCACGAAATCAGCAAGGAGCTTGAAAATTTCAATATAGAGAATGCTCGATTGAATATTTCGATCAAATTTATTGGAAAATAAGTAATTTTAATTTTTCAGGCTAAAAATTTGGAAATATGTTTGGAAAATGAGAATCAGTGAGGCAGCGAGAAACGTTTAAGTTAAAAACAAACCTGACCTCATTTCCGGAGCTATGTACCAGTCTCCTTCAAATTCCCAACCTTCAGGGGCCTGAAACTTTTTTTTGGGTAGTGGTAGCTGAGGACGAAAATCAAAATATTTACCACTATTAATAGCTAATAACTAGTTAACATACAAACAGAACAGTTACTGTTAAGTTATTGGAATGATTCTTACAGGATAAAGAACAAATGCAGCCTGCTCGGAGGAAAGTATAAATGTGAAACATTCGTTGTTTGTTAGTATGTTAACTATAGGAATAAGCAACAAAGAGACAACGATACACAATGAATAAATAGATGATAGTTCTAGTGTAATCTAAAAGAGACGGACCAGATTTCAGCAAAGTACATGTTATAGTCGTTTTTCTCAAATATTAGATGAGGTAAGTGACAGAAAAGAAAAACAGGATAGAATAGGAAAATCAGTACTGTGATAATGATATTCTGAATTCGTTTAGTCGGTTAAGCTATAAGTCATACCTCTCCACTGGCATTCGAAAATCCTGGTCTTGTGAGGGCTTTCTTCGTCCAAAAACCAATTTTGACTTCGTTTTCATACTGCAAAAGAAGTAACAATTTCGTTATCAAAAGCGCTATAATTACGATTGAATAGAATATTTCACTGGACCGAACATTCGAAAAACTGAACGTGTGTCAGATTTTTTTTCGTTAGCAATCACAGAATTAATCGTACAGTGCACTGACCGTTTCTGCTAAGACGCCAAAATCGCCTTCTCTTTGCTCGCGTGCAGTCCAGTTACTCTGATACTGCTCAAGTCCGAACCACAGCTCGACTCGGACGATTGCGGGTAGTTCTGGGTGATCTGCAATGTTTAGGGCCTTCTTACCGGGGTACTAGAAGGGGAAAAAAGGGAACTCTGTCAGTAGCATATCGCACTAAAGATTTCTCTTAGTTCAGTTCGCACTATATCCGATCACGAAAGTTTGTTTCTGTGCCTGTTTATGACAAATGTTTACCATCTTTCTCTATTAGAAGATTAATGAAATACAAGTAAAAACTGGATTTCTTCCAGTATATTTGCGGGCTTATTTCGGTGATTCGAGTGTTTTGCTTCTGCTCAATATTCTCAAGATTTCTTCATTTATATTATAAGTAGGTGGACACATGATAGTCCCTTTGCAATTTGGAAAACATAGTAATTATTCGTTCTTATATATTCTACATTCCTCTCGAAACCATGTGATTAACTGTACCAAGAACCTAGGCAATGCTCGGGAACAAATGGAGGGAGTTATCTGTATCACATGGTAACCCCATCATTACCGGGAACTTTGGTCTTGCATCACATATGTATCTACCGCTGATTAACAAGACTGCGGTATTCTCTTGGGGAAAAGTTACGTTCGCATAGACACTGCAATTAAAATATCTGAATTTTCTTTGTAATGATTAAATCATTACATAAGTAAAACTAAACTTCACACATTTTCTGAAACTGACTCGCTAAAACGGAAATGTTGCCCCCGCCTCTAAATAAATTGGTGAATTACCTTCATCTCAATCTCCATTGTTTTGCCGCAAAATTTACCACAGGCTTCCTCCTTGGGTGAAAACAAGACATGGTAGGCTGGTATCCTGTGGTAGGCAATTCTCGTTGAGCCACTGATCATCCAGAGGATAACATCGGGTAGGCTGTTTTGAGGCTGTATCAGTTGTAGAAGATTAAGATCAAAATGAATTGTATATCATGAATGGGAAGAGTTACCTTAAGGCCTGTAATGAATTTTAATTGGCCAAAGCTGACAAAGCTGTTGACTAATTAACCCTTTGATCCGTAAGAGTGACTGTTATCTAAATTCTCCCAACAATATCACCTTCGAGTTAAACATTAAGGTCACGAGGATAAAGGAAATGATCACCAACTTAAGAGGCCTTTGATTATAAAACAAATTCTCTTTGTCTGCACCTTAAGAAATGTATAGAGAACAGTATGGAGAATATCCCTACTGAGGTTAGGGTGTAAAGGGCCAAGAACTAAAAGAATTCAGGACCTAAATAGTGAAGACCAGTTACCAAATCTCATCTCCTGGCAATAAACTCTTGCATTGAACAGTGTGAGCAACTCCCTCCGTATGCCAACAGAAGTTTTTCTTCGTCTTAAAAGACTTTTCTGCTTTCTACGTCATACGTTTTCATCAATGATTGGGCGATAGCAATTTAGCCAGATAAAACGCATGAACATACATTTTTTCGGACAATACAAGTATTCCGGCATACATAAAGATTAATTAAGTCACCTGGTCATATTCACGCACGATCAACAAAGCGCCTCCTTCCGAACAAAGAACTGAAAAACTATTGAATGTGATTTTTTCTTTGTTTTATCGTTCTGGTGGCAACTGCCGGAATTAACAATATTTCCGAGATTTTGTCGTTCTACTCTTTCACACTGATGTTTATTAATTCTTCTCTAAACCCTTTTGTGTACTGCTGGAAGATGAGACACTATCGAAATGCTATCAGAGCCACTAAACGAAATTTACGGAGACGTGCATGTAATTCAAGGAGTGGTAACCTCTACTTCGTCGCCTTTTCCTGGGAGAGAGAAGGAGTTCCTACTCAAGAGAGGGTTGATAGATGCTAGGACAACAGAGCGAAGCTTGAATTAGATACTCAGAAATACTCAAAAAAACTAGTCGTCTAGAAAGAAAATTTTAGTCGAGAAGCGTACGAGAGGAAACTTAATGTGCATGAAATTGGCATTTGCCTTTAATTCTTGATACTAACCTCTTCTGCAAGGTCTTGTAACCGCTGAAGAAATCCGTTTACATCTGAGAGCGCGTCTTCAACGTTTGTTGCTTTTTCTTTAAGCTCCGTGGCGTCCTGTGCGATAGAGCGCTGAAAAAGATTATAACATAAGGAGAACAGATTGTTTAAACTATTGCAAGGGTACTGAGGATTTTCATAGCTTGAAACTTTTTTCACTTCATATTTAATTTGTTATTGTTTATTCAATTTGAATCTTGGTTATTTTCATCATTTTTTTATTAGTTGCTTCTTTTTCGTTGAATTTTTTTCAGATCGATCTTCACCAGGTCTCATTCATGCAAACCTTTTGTCAATTTTCATTAGTCTAAGAAAAGACACAAAAAAAGACATTATTTCATAATCACAAGATCTTAGTGGGAATGCCCACCTATTATGAAACTCTTTGTTTGCAAGATCAATTAAATTAAATAAATGTGTTCGAGCACAATTAGAGTACGCTGCGAACTTTTTCTCGGAAAAATTCTACTAAATTGAATAACAGCAGCTTTACCAACTCGCATCTTCTCTCACGGTCCCGCTTCATATCAAGTTTGTTTGTCTTCCCTTTCAAGCTAGGGAGGCTATTGCTGGATGAAAAGAAAGGAAATGAGGATTTTGAAAAGCATAAAAAAGCAATACTTTTAAGTGAAAGACGGCCTCTGGCTCGTGATTTACAAATTTTTTTAGTGTTCTCCCAACATCTTGAGTAAGTAATCACAGTGGTAATTCTATGGAGAAGGCGGTACATTACTTTATAATAAAAAATTCAACTTCCTATTGGTTTTACCAGTACAGTAAACGATAGGTTTTTGACAAATTAGGCAGCTCGCAGTGTCTCAATTGTTTTCAAATCTGTATATCGTATGCAGAGCTCAAACATCAGTTGTTTTTTGGACTGCATTCTACTTAAACTAACTCATCTCTCTAACTCTCAACCCTTTATGGCCGAGAATAGTAAAAAACTGGTGCATTTACTGTTTTACTACTGCTAACTATATCTAACCCCTCCATTGGCACGGCCGTAGCCTCACATAGATAACGCACTGAAACAAACTGATAAGAAAACCTGAAAAACGTTACCCACTCTCTTTTTGCCAATTTACCCTTTAACAAGTCTTGTTATTCTGTCCTAATTTTTTTCAATCCATGCACCATCTGTCGGGTTTTGCATTGATCTTGAGGCTTTGTATGCATTAAAATAGTTGCTACTTATTTATGACTCTTCGTTCAATATTGAAATTGCCGAGAATTTCACGAACAAGTCCCTTAAAATGGTTCTATTCAACCATAATACATTTGGGTTACTTATGATAGACTTCGCTTTATCCATGCAAGTGCATTCAATGCACGACTTGATTTTCATGATTGCCTCATAACATTATCAGTGCTTTTTTCTTGTTCGGTCTTTAACGAATATTGTTTCGATTATCGAAAGATTGGTCGGCATATGACCCTTTGTTCAAACAGAAACAGGAGCGTCGGGATCAAAGGATCCATTTATTACGTTTAAAACTTGTATAAGTTCAGCAGATCTTGATTAAGAGGCATTTCACTTGGTTATGTATGTATCTTTGAATAAACCTATCATGAAATTTCATGCACCAGTATATTTTACAAATTATGTAACGTCCCAAGTAACCTGCAGTCTGCGATAAGCTGGTCCAGTAAAGAGAACAAACAAGAAGCCCTGTCTACTTCCGGTGCATTGGTGGCGATCATATACATCACTTCCGTTATTTTATTTTTCTGGGGAGAGAAAAAGTTTCTTGGTTAAAGGCAATTTCCGTTAATCTACGCTGAGAATGCAGCAAATGTATTGCTTCTGTGATATGATTTCCATGTCATCTTCAATATCAAACAAATATCTCACGAATTCACTACTTCAGCTCAGTTCTGTCAAGGTTTTACGCTCCCTGAACCAAATACTTTTTTTAGATTCGATTTTGAAAAATTTGTACGCGGTGAAAAACCTGACTGAAAATGCGCGTGTTGCTTGAAATGATAGCTCCCTGAAATTTTGCTCCACTGAAGGGGACTCTTTTTCTGTTAGAACAAAAGCAAGGCTCACGCAGAAGCGTTTAAAGTAGCACTTGGTCTTACCACGCGATCAATAATCCTCAGTAGGGCATTTAAGGGCTCCAGTCTGAAGGATATGTTCTCCCAATAACTTTCCACGCACACACAAGGCTTTTCGCTGCTCCAGGGAAGATAGTAATAGTTACTTCCATCATACACTGCGTTACAAGGGGGCGTGTTGGAAGGTGCCACCGACTCATCCATCATGTTGCCATAGTTACCTACAAAGTAACGGCTCTTATCAGCTGGGAAAATGGTTAAAAGAAGTTTCATTTCATACAAATCTGATCTATGTAAATCTGGTACACGGTTTGGATATAGTTGTTGTTGTTGCTAAAAGTCATTAATTGTAAATCATTCATATTCTGTAACGAACACATTTATCTTTAAAGTAAACTGTGTTATATAACATGTTTCGATGCAGAACAACGTTGAGTAACCTTTTTTGCAAAACAAGCTACTTTGTGCAATTTCCCGCTCATTTACAGACAATATGTGAAAAGCCCTATGAGCAATTTCAACAACTAATTACTGTCTTCTAACATTACATGTATGGTTGAGATCGAAGATCCATTAGAGATAAAAAGTCTAAACTGCTTGTTTTTAACTCACATTGGCACAGCAATACGTTCACATATTGGAGAAGAATCTTTAAAAATTTTTTTGCATCCCGCCATCATACAATCAGTTTACTTTGGTCCACTTTATAGGATTGCCAAGGACAAAAAGAATGAAATTCTTACCGATGCTAATTTCAAATTCAATAGGCCCGTCTACATCAAACACCATAGAGGCTTCATAAAAGCAAGCAAACAACTTGTATTTGCTGCGGCTCAGGTATGGCTTAAGAGAAACAACGTTATTAAGGCCTCAGTACAAATGCGTGAATTTACACGTTTATAGAAACTAGTCTGTACTTTTTATTAGGATAAAATGTGTAAGGTTTTCATTCGGTTGTATCGACTATAATCAGTTAGGGAACAAAGTGTTAGTCGCAAGTTTCGTGGTTTACGAGAAATATTACGGGTAACTTAAAAATTGTATGAAGCTTTGAGACTGACACTCTAGTTACTGTTCATGATTGTATATGTAGGTATTACTTTAACGGTAATTTTTGATCAAATAGTCTGATCGATTGGTGAGGGTAATCCTGATGAGGACTATTGTCGGTCGTGGTGACTGACCCTTCGACAACCCTGACGGGAATCATCATTACTCGACTATGACAACCACTTCTTCAAAGTTTTCGAAACGTCAGCTATGATCACTGCACCACCGACAATAGTCCTTATCATGATTAACCTTACGCAAAAATCATACGACGCGTTCAAATGTTACCCCGAGGTTCAAACCATTGACTAACGGTAATGCCCTCAAAAAACTTTTCTTGACCACAAGGTATCTTGTGTGTTACATGTGTTACACGTTTTGCATGAATGACGGAGCAGTGAAGGACTAGACCCCACCTGAGAAGCCCGTCAGAGCAATTTCTCGCCACACGCTTGGCGTTCACAACAATGATAGGTGTAGAGATAGTGATAATTTGTTTCAATGCTGTTAAAATAGGGATTTTTCTAGAGAAAAGCCTGTTTAAATGACTTTTTTGTTTAGTTTTATTTTCAGTGGAGTCTTTTTGCAGTTCAGTACTACCTGTACTCGAATAAGTTCTGGTCCTTTCATGACTTCCAGCTCCTTGTCAATCTCTTCACCCAACTTGGTCTCCAACTCCACCAGTAATCGCCCCCTATACGCCACTCCCTCCCCCTGTAAAGTAAAAATGTTAATTAATCTCTTACAGTTATTAGAAATTACTTTAGCTTGCATAATTTTTTCACGTGACTACAAAATAAAATATGATCTAATATTTGCCAAACAGGGTTTTTTTTAGCACAAATAAGTAACATTTCACATATTAACTCATGCATCAGGCCCTTTTCGGAGAATTAGCATTCGACGTAATTACAATTCAGTAAAGAACTGTTGTCTTCCAGATGAGACGTTCCTTAACAAAAAATCAATTATTGGACGCATTCTGATCTATTTGTCGCCAGACACTACTTGACAATGCACAACACAACTATATAAATAATGTTTCAAGCACCTTTCCATCATTTAGATCTTCATGCTCATCTGGAAGCTCAGAAAACTCCCTCGGGGAACCATAAAAATTCAACCAACAAGGACCAAACGTTGGAAGAAATCCTAGACATTGACAAATTATTCGCTCATTAGTTGCAGATAAAGCAGTCAATAAAGGAAATGAATTGATAAAAAACGAACAGTTTGAGGAAGATAGAGAGATAACGTAGATTTTTATCACGTCATACAAACTATATCATGTAACCTTCTTCTCCTTGTCCAGACATCGAGGCAAGAGAAAGAAAAGTAGTTGCAATACAATCATCATCAGTTAGACGATCCCTGAAGGAACAAAATACGAACTTTCAAACAACATTCCCAAGAACCTGCCAATGCATTTCTTGAATATACAAATTGTCTTTTAGAGAGACATTTTACCTTTACAGTGTGTTAAGTTCTCTGATGTATATAATCCTCGAATCAAAGAAGGCACGCTTTCTTATCTAGTACCACTATACCTTGCCTCGATTAATTTTCCCTATTGCCGTTTGTGTACTGTTAATCGTACGTTCCTATAATTGCTTGTGTTTTAATATTGCAAACATGCTCATTCCTTGATACATAACACCCGTACAAGGGGCTCGACAACAATAAACGTTTTTCAAAAATGTCTGGCAACGTCCCAAGCAAAGTGAAGGACTTAATATTCACCCACGCTAGAACTGTCCACATAAGTGAATCTTCCTTTGAAAACACATACATTTTATGTGTTTATCGCGCGCACAAGAACGCTTGGAAATGCAAATGAAAATGAAAAGGAGTGACCCATTTTTCGGTAGAGGTTTTTCAAAAAACGGAGCGTTTAAAGGACGATGCATTTTCTTTACCCTTGAAAACGTTTTAAATATCTACGGTTTTATCAGCGTTGTTTGCGATGTAGTTGGATGATATGCAAAAACGCTGTAAAGCAATATGCATTCTCGAACAAGAACGCCTAGGTTGAGATGAGGCCTTTCGAAACTGTTTTCGAAAGACTCTATTTTCATGAGCGTTTTCGAATGTTTCAGTGTAGATGATGGCAAAAACGCATCAAAAGATATTGGTGTGGAGGAGGCTTAAGAGTAAAGAGTGTAGTTTTGGTTAGCTTATTCACTCACCAGTCGAACAATTGGATTTTCACTCTCTGACACATTGATGGAAACTGAAGGAGAGAAATTTTTAAACGATACAGTCGACAGGAATCTATTATGGTGGAAACGTTAAACCAGAAAATATCACTTATGCGAGCAGGTAGACTGATTTGAAAGATTTCGTCTGTAAAAGAAATTTTCAAGTGAATTTCCTGAAATTTTTATTAGAAGAGATGAACAATACACTAAACTGTATAAGACAAAAAACAGAAGGAGAAGATCTCACCCTTACGAAAGAATATAGTTTATAAGGTTGTAAACAACCGATTAAATTGTTTACTCTTACCATGAAAGGAACTTTGATGATCTCCTTAAATTCTGGACAGTCTGTCTTGTATTTGACAGAGGTGCGATTCTGTATCAAGAGAAATGAAATACTTTGCCTTCGTCCATTGATTATTGCTATTTTTCATGCATATTGTCGGATTTAGAAAGACGTTCCAAAGAGGACGTGGATTTTATGAGTCTGTAAGTCCCACTTTGTTGTTTTTGTTGTTGTTGTATTGTTATTGTCGTTGTCGACGTTGTTATTGTTGATAATGCTGTTTTTTTGGCTGTATTTGTAATTATATCTGTTGTTGTTGTTGATGATGCTGTTGTTTTTGTCGTTGTTATTATTGTTGTTGTTGTTGTTTTTTGTGAATGCTGTTGTTGTTATTGTTGTTGTTAATGCTGTTGTTGTTGTTGTTGTTGCAGTCATACCTTTTGCACTTACAACAAGCAGTCGTACCGGCTTTCAAATTATTTTTCCTCGTGGTTAACACGACAGGTATGGGCTTAGAGAGTCACTTTTTAAAAGTAGCTTCTCATCACAGACGTAAGCGAAAACTTCCTTGCGAGCCAGCATTGTTTCCATGTAGAAGGTTAATCTGATCAGATTATGACAAACACAAAGAAACATGTACAATACCTCTTTTCCACAAAACTGAAATAGAACGTAGGGATCCACAAGCTTTTCATCCTCCTATCGAAAAAAAGGAGATTTGACTTTTGTTCTGCTTTTTATTCTATCTTTTGTTTGCGTTTGATGACAGAGTATTACCTGCTGCATGTTGAAAAATTTCTTGACACCTTGCATCACAGCTGTATCCACTACAAACACAAAATTAGACAAATTAGAGCCACATCTTTGGGTTGTACCATTTTTTTTTTCTGGCATCTCTCTTTCACGATAGTTCTCGAGCTGAACGACCGACGACACAGTTGTATTCTATGATCATCATGTTAGAGCTCTAAATACTACTATTTTGCTACTTTACATCGCATAATTTTTAGTGGTAATTTTTTTTAGCTAAAATATTACGATTTTCTTTTCGGTGTACAAAAATTCTCTCTGGAGAACCCGTAATTATTCGACCCATAACTGATAACACTACCTAATTAACTTACTCTGAGGAAGATCCTCCGCTCGATAAACTTTGAAAGTAAAAACTGCGTCTTGAAGACCGACTCCAGCAGGCCTAAGAAGATTACTGTAAAAAAAATAATCGATATGAAAGGAACAAATCAAACTAAGGAAACTGACAAAACAACAAAAAAAAACCAACCAAGCTAAAACGAAGAAATGTTTCAGCGACTTTCACGGCTTTTGTGATTCCCAAGTGTTTGATGAATTCCATAGGCTAAGTATATAGTAGTCTACGTATAGACTACTCTATCTAGCCCCTCGGTTCCTCATTATAAGCACTTCGGCACCAGCTTCTCCGCGCTCGCGGGATAATAGTATTACGGTTTGAGCAACGAGAACCGGCGAGACGTCTATAAGGGGCCTGGTTAGTTGTAGCACCAGACCCCTGTCAAACCTCTCCTTGACTCGTCTCAAATCTTCCTGCTGGTAGAGAAACGCGCGTCCTGCAGAGCTAATTATTGAGGACTTGTCCGTAAGCTATGAAATATTTCGCAATATAACGATACCAAATAGCTACGGTGCGAATGCATGCATAGGTAGTTACTTCATAAATAACGATTGTTGACCCAAAGTTCGCGTAATAGCACATAGCCATCGACTCTTAAAATAGATTGACTTTTGCCTTAGTTACTCTGGATCATGATGTAGCTCATATATTCGTTATAAAAAGTTATCTTATGTCACTGCAAATCCTTCGCAAAAGCAAAAACATAATTAAGTTTGCGAGCTTTTGTTAGAAAGTGATAGGACAAACTGTACAAGAACGACAAACTGGCACCGAGCAGATAATTAGTATTCTTCGGGAAACATGACATGAGAAAAAATGAAAGCATATGAGAGAGCTTTTAAGATAAATTTGTCAAATTGCTTATTAAATTCATAAAGGTACTCACGCCTCAATGTCGTCAGAACCGTCCTCTCCGGCGAGCTTAGACAGAGGCTGAGAATAAATAAAAATTCATCAAAAAAGTAAAACTTAATTACAGTTACAGTCATTCACATAGTTGTAAAGGACTTGTCTGAAAGTACTTTTGTAATTTTGTTTGGTTTAACTTATGTCTTCTTTTTAACAACTTTCCTCGTGATAAATTTGTTATCTCCCTTTTCTCAATTAGCAATGGAACATCGCCATTACATTTGATGGCTCTAATCAGGTTTAATTTCCTGCGCCATTTTCTTGGGCGAAGTTTATGTTTTTCCGTTTCGGAACCGCAGGTGACCATGATCGGACGTGTACATTAATCAATTACACAAATTTAACGCAACGCTGAAGAGAAAGTTGTGTCTATATCTTGAGGGAACCAGCAATAGAACGAAGTTTCGGCAAGAGTTAAGATTTATAGTTTTTTTTACCGGTGGTTTGTCTCCAGGTCCCAGCACGGTTACTGTCGCTTTTAGGTAACCCTATAATCAAACGTGTAAGAGATGAAAATGTGTTATCGGTTTTACGTTAGGCTTCTTAAAATCTCCACAAGGATTATATTTTTGTATGATCGCACTTACTGCTGGTGAGCCTCCTCTAGAAGTTCCTCGAACTCCTTTTGCGCTTTTCTGTTCATCAATGAAAAGAAAAAAATCAGCGAAAAAAAACATGTCAGAACTTCAGAGACTTATTTAGGCAAACGGTATCATGTTATTTTTCCTCTCTGCCGCTCTTTCCATTTCCGCCTCACCATGTTTTGGGTCTGTACCATTTTCCATTGTCCATTAGGTTTCTGTTTTGGTGGGGGAGAGTGGAGGGGGTGGTAGGCATTCATCCCACCCGCCAAAACCTTCCTAATGGCAACGGGCTTGTTTCGTCATCGTATTTTATGTACTTCAAGCTGCATTTTATGTTTTCCTAACATATGCCCTTCAATCTTGCATCGGCGCTTTTTGTTAATCAGAGCTCTGATTCTCATAGAAACGTCTGGTTGGCCTCATAAATTGGTTCTATTATGGGGCAGCTGGCCTGTTTTTAAAAGGAAATAAATGAACCTACCTCTTCTGTTTCGTCGCCTCCTTTGTCTTTAGGATTGCTCAACAACATCCATTTACGAATAAAAGAATGACCTTAAAATTGAGATAGCAAAAAGAATAATGTTTTATCTTTTTAAGATATCTCATTATGCACATGTATACCATTGCTCCATAGAGACATATTCTCTTAGTATCGAGGCATGAAATACGAAAAATCCACTGTGATAAAGAGGATTTGATTGATTAAATTTTAACTGTCAAAGGTTTAAAAAAAATGATAATTTATGACGATAAATAAATGAGGTCTCAAGTGTGCAAAAATGTATGTTCTTATGTTGCCTAAATATCTGAAGATTAGCTGGATCGTCCTAATCTTCGTCGGCAATATCAAAGCTGATCCAGATCAAACACAGAGATGGCTAACAATACCTTAAAAGCCAGCCATGTAGAGTCTAACGTTACTTCATCAAACCACTTACCTGGCATGTCGTATATTGAATAGATGTCAAGCTGAAAAGAAAGATTTACTCGTAACTCTAAGGCAAGCGATATAAGTTATACAGCAATGTTAGAGCGCCGCCGGAACTGATAACATGGAAGGCAGAATTCGATTCCAAATTGACACAAAAAAAGCAGTCATATACGGCTACAGTCAGGCTACGTTTTTAGTACGAAGCACACAATGTTTCTTAACAGGTCGTTCTAAGTTGTTTTTTTATGCAGAGTAATACAAGAGAAACATATGGACACAACTACCTCGATTGATCATGTTACAGTACTAACGTGCGGAAAATTTGCTTTGTTCAGTTTGATCTTTACTCAACTGGCTTCCCCGCTTTGGGTAACCATTTCATAGCTTATCAACTTAATATTTGTCGCAATTATTTATCCAAAATCATAAACGTAAGGAATAGCTACATGTATCGAGTGTTCATTGTGTTTTCCTCATTTCTGAAAATTTAACCTAGCTAACCTCGAAATAACCAAGTAGTGAGTCTGCACGGTACTTTCTGGAGTCGAAAACCTAAAGGAAGAAAGAGATAAAGTAAAATGAATATTTGGACATGGTTATTGATATTATGATATAAAGACTGGACTTTTTTTTTTACACCTTGCAAGCTGGCATTGTTTAATTTAAAACAAACAATCAAACACAAGACATTCGTACAAAAAAGACGTCATCCACTAGAAAAGAAAAAACCAAAGCTTATACTTAGAAGCACTTAATTCAAACTCGAGCAGGACTCGAAAAAAAAAATTCGAACGCTTTACCGGCCCCTAAGAGTGACTGGCTTCGAATTTCTCCGTACACTAACAGTATCACCCTTAAATCAAATGTAAAGGTGATTAGAAGAAAGGAAATATCATCAACTGAAGAAGCCCCTGATAGTTAAAAAATACTCCTTGTAGGTAACATGGGAAATACATTGAGAATAGTACGGAGAACTTGCCTCCTGCCGTTTACAATAACAACAAGGGGTTAACAACACCGATGAAGTGGTTCATCAGTGTTGGGTTCCCTGTTTACTGACCTCAAACGACACTGTTTCTTCAAACAAGTCCATGGGTGCAGAGTGAAAATTGAAGGAGAAATTCTGTATGAAATGATGGAATTGAAGAAAATGACGCTTTTAGCTCTTAGATTTATTCTCGTAAGTTTGTGACATGTCCAGTCCATGCAACAATGATCACATGACCAACCTCGTTAAATGCCGGATTGTTTGTGCATTTCTTGATTTTTGTATCTCGGTCTTGATCAGCCACGCTCACTCGAACAACAGGGTGGATGTTACCTCCTGTTAACTGACGAGCTTCAAATACCTTTACACGTATCTGTTTCAAATCGCACAGCAAAAGTTATTATGTGTGAAATATCTTAAGAGAAAAACCTCAGCTGTAAGAGAGTAGCGATTTGAAATGTTTTCATTATATATATTTGTATTATATTTCTTACCTGAAAATCCTGAGGCTTATTTGATAACGCCTTTCCCTTCTGTCCACGTCTGGTCCTGAAAATGTAATTCGGTTTTCAATAACTGATCATCTTGGAATGTTAGAAGCATTGGAAATGAAAGAATTTTACTGATTTCGACATTGAAGCACGAACTGGCTATTTCAAAAGGGGTGGGGGGGGGGGGGCTAGCTATGAACTCACCTGACTATCACTCGTGTTTCGAAAAATTTATTAAAGATCACACTTTTTGTATTGATGTAAAAGGGCGCATACAAAAAGTGGGACATTTTCAATAGCACTCTTCATGGGGTCTACTTACAAACGCAATATGACGATTTATGTTAATCCTCTGACATTCAAGAGTAACTATCTATTTTCTGCTTACAATATAACCCCTGAACCAAATCAAAATCTCCTTGTAACAGTATGGAGAGTATGCATACTGATGTAAGGCTGTAAAGGGTTAACAGGCCGCATAAAGTGCAAAACGCTACGTCAGTCTTGATTTATCCCTGTTCCCTTTTCTCAAATACTACATCGTGTTTTTCCTTATCAGCCGGACAAAAATATGTCAATGGTAGGCACAACTGGTGCTCTCTTAGATTCCTTTCTTACCACCTGAATTAATCAAATGGCTGATTCATCGTTGTCCTGCTACATTTCAGTTTGCAGAAGAAATCAGAGAATTATTTGCGCTCGTGGCTTGCAAACATGGTCGGTCAACCAGTGATTAAACTTCTATAGCGTTATAGGCAAATGCCAACTGACTCACCGGCCATTAAAGCAAGCCAACAAAAAAAAAATCATCTCCCCTGAAGCACCAAAACAGTCTATCTAACCTGCTGTGGAGCAACGCATCATCGCACATAGCCAAGCCATTGACTACTTTTCAGAAGAGAACTTACCTTTTAACTCCTACTTTCCCTGGTTCTCCTCCAGTAGTTTCAAATTCTTTCACTTCTTCACCCTCCTCAATACCACCTTCCTGTGCCTCTCCTTTGGTGGCGGATGGAGGAGGGTCGTAAGATAAGCTGATCTTAAGTTTAGCCTGGGTGTGAAATTATGTAACAAGTTTAGTCGATGTAAGCGTTATAAAAAATAACGTAATGGAATTTTGAAGGAACCAAATCAGTTCCAATATTTCAAAGAACTGCAAATTAGATCATTTTCTCAAAAGCAAGAACTTTTCTTACTTGCAACGCTATGATAAAAAATGAGTGATAATAAAGATTCTCATTTTAGAGTGTGTCATCAGGGATCGGAGGGGTATGGGGGAGAGGGGGAGGCTGGGGTGTTTTTGACGAAGGGGTTGTCTGAATGTACTTAAAACCTGAACTTCTTAACGGGAGGTTCGGGTCACCAGGGTGTCAACAGTGTAAGTTTTCTCTTCCTTGCTTCTTGGATTAGCTTTTTCATGAAGATCATTACAAAATAGTACTTACGGGGGTGGCTCTTTGTTCGCCATCTACCAAATTAACCTCGGTGTCCACAGACTTACTTTTGGAGCGGACCAAATTGTTTAAGGGAACTGTGGCTGAACCAAGAAGGCTGTAGGAGGAAGAGGTTTGATTAATTTTCTGCAATTTCGTTAATCAGTCGTAAAACAAACGTTCCTTTTTACAAACATGCCTTTTTTCGAAGAAAATATCCGATCAGCAGGATACTCATTAAACGTCAGCAGGAAAACAGCACAGCATGCTCAAACTGTGGTGAAATTTTTGTGCGTGACACATCAAACAATAAACCGAGGTCAGTTCAGCAATAAACCGTTTTGAGTCTTTCAAGCTTTGAAAATAGAAAAGAAGCGCTCGAAAGAACACAACACGCCAGGTGTGCGAGAGGTGCACAAGAAACTTGTTCAGCAAATTTAAATGTTTATTTTTCAATAGCGAGATGAGAAAAATCAGAAAATGATCTCTGACTTTTTCTTTGATTGGTTGCAACTCATGACAACTTACGTTGCTTTCGGGACTAAGGAATTTCCTCTATTTGATTGTTATCTTGAATATTTGCTAGGATTCATGACTATATGTTTCTACTTAGTTTAGTTTGAAATTTTGCTTCGGAGACCACCCTAACAAAATTGTCCGTTAACCTTTTTTCCGTTATCGACGAAGAATTAAAGGAGCGTGTTCTTAACATGCCATTTCAGAACTGTACAGGTGTGTAGATCTATTGGCGTTCTCCCACAAATGCTACATCCTGATTGGCCACAAATCCGGCTGCAATCTGATTGGCCGCGCTATTCACTATCGATTTCTTGATAGATAGTGAGTAAAGTAGATAGCCTCACTATGTGCGGTGTAAACAAAATAAGATAGAAACATGCGCCTGTCTTGTTGTTGCAAAACAAAAAGATTATTTGATATTGATTTCTATTCGAGATATTTGATTCAGGCATCGCCCTCATTAACTATCACGCGACATCTCTGGATCATTAGCCAATCGTTAGATATTGTCAAGAGAAGAGTGCAATTAGAAATGAGTAAGTAATTACCGATTGGCTGTTATTTTCTCCCAGTCTTTAACCTTGAAAAGAAGCGTCTCTTGAGCTGACAACTCCTTTCCATTGAGGTCATATTCGAACTCCTAAACAAACCAAATACATCAATACATAAGCAAAGAATGCAAAGCTTTTCGTTCGAGTTGTGTGGTCGTATCCACTCCTGGGAGTGACTAAAATGGAATTTCTCCTCACAATATCGATACATTTTCAAGAATATATGTGACGGGAAGAAAGGAAAACACAGCTATGGGGAATCATGTCTGACTTTTCCTCCGATTCTCTGAGAATAAGGTCAGAAATCAGAAATTCAAATTCTGCGGTAGAGAGAGATAAGAAGTGATATCTGGATTTTGGCAGTAATAAAGTCACCGATATAAACCTATACCTTGTTCCATTCAGGGTTGAGATTATCTTTGATGACGTCTGTCCTTTGTTCCTGACCTGGAGTAGAATAAATCATATCACAGTGAAAGAGACGAAGAAGTTCAAATTTCAGAGTACAGAGCAAGGAAAACTTGAATTTCTCTCAGAACGTACACAGCTATATTTAAATCGTTTTTAAATCGTTGATGATGTATCACGAGGTAACGACCATGATTACGGGCGTTAAGAGTATTCGGATGGACGACTCTTTGATCTCTAAGAGGGACTGGTTTCTAATCAATTTTTCTTTACAACATCTTCCTTGAATTAAATACAAAGGTCAAGAACAGAAAGGAAATTATCACCAATTTAAAAAAGCTCCTGATTGTCAAACGAATTCTCCTTGTCAGTACCATAAGAGATTTAGAGAGGAAAGTATTGAGAACATGGATACTAATGTTAAGGTACAAAAGGGTTAATTTGTCTAAGAGGGAGAAAAGTAATCACAAAATTAGCTTTGGGAACAATTTTTAAGACCATTAAAATAGTTGAGACGGGAAAATAATTTTGACGGAAAAGAGTATGTAGTTGATGCGAAACAAGTATGTCGCATACTTGTGCCGCCAGAAATGAGAAGAGCATAGACATTCTGCGAAGAGAAACTTTAACAGCTTGTGACGAACACGATCTAGGACCAAAGAACATGCTTGGGAATTTCGTAATCTTAGGGAAATACTGTTGAAAAATGGACTAAATCATGGTTTTGTCAAATATTACAAAAGGAGTTTTTGCAGATGAAAATCGCTCCAGCAATCAGAGGCCCATTCTTAACAGTATGCATGAACTGATTTATCAAATATGGCAAAAATTTCCGACCTTTTCCTTTGACAAAATTCTGGTTTTAGGAATTTCTCTGCTCCGTATATTTAGATAAATCCTCAGTGAGAACAAACCGCATAAGTTTTAATTTTCGATGTTTATGTACACGGAGAATTCCGTTTTAAAAGGACCTTTACAAAGTGTTTTGGCTTGAGATCTGTTCTTTAAAGAGTTTATTTTCGGTTGATATTCGGCCGATTTTCGTGAATTTTGGAGATTATGTCGGAATATATAACGTCTACAGTGAAAACTCTGCTCAAAAGCACTTCTTCGAATTTAAAAAAATTATAAAGAAATACCAAGGCGTTCAAATAAAAATTATAGACACACGCTTTTAGATCAATATGTGAAGATCACGCTCCGATTAAAAAGAAACGTGTTGATTAAAATGCGTCGTAAAATAAACCTATCTCGTAAAACGTCTCGGCGTCAATGATTACGTTCCCATTCTGTTCTAAGGCAAAAATTATGAAAATAAATTTTATATCCGAAATCAGTGTTTATTAAGCTTTGAGAAAATGTTTACTTTTACAGGGTTAGCGCGCACAATTTTCACGTTTAAATGAAAACGCTAATTTTCCTCCTGTGATATCTTCAGCAGCTGAAGAGACAAAATCGCAAGTCAAGAGTGTAATTTCCGTCTATTTTTTGGTATTTTGACAGAGAGGAACTTATTTTGTGGTGTCTGTGTTATGAAAGTGGTAGATAATTACCTGGCAGCTTCGGAACTCAGTAAATATCCATCACTATCACGTACCGTCACCGAGATGAACAATTGTTGATGATCGAGGGCGCTTTGTCTGCATTGTCAGGTAAATGAGCATAGCCAGTTGGCCGGTTATGTTAGAAAAAGGTTTTTTTTTTCATATTTCTATGCTCTTCTGCCCTATTTCGGCTTGTCTAATTAAAAACATCATGGAGAAGAAGTTAAACCTCTACGCTGAGCCCAGATGAAAATTGGATATTAGAGGCAATGGCGGCAATGGGCGAAGAAGGTGTCAAAAAATATATATTTTTCGAATAAAAAAAACGTTGGGTAAATAAAACTTAAACTTAATAAGCAAGGCAAAAGATATTCCACAAACCAGAAATTTGTGAAAGTGAGAGTTTGGCAATTTATGCCATTTCTTGAGAATCGTCGCTGTTAAAAATGGGCCTTTGTCTGAGCGCTGAAGCGATTTTCTCTCGGCAAAAATTTTAGTTTTCATCACTCAGACTAAGATAGATTCGCGCGAGGAGTATGAAAAAGTCGATTTTTCTGACCGAAATGCATCGAACTTTTGTAAGAGAGACTGAGTCTTGAAAGCTAAACAGACTTCATTTGTGCAGAACTTTTTGTCAGACCTACGATTTCATGACGGTTTTGTTTTGCATTTATGTAGCGGATTATTTTTCACTTCCATTCCTAAATTATTTAGGTCCATTTCTTAAAATAATTTCTTCCACATTTGTCAAAGAGGAAATTAAGTCGACGAGATGTCATTTACATCCTTTTTCTTTAATTTTCCTTTAATTTGAACTGTTTGACGAAAATGCTCCGATAAATGAGGAAGTAAGTTTCGAAAGAAACTGTAGTGCTGCGTCGGTTGGACAGTATAGTAGGGGAATTTAATTAGTATTATCAACTGAGTTGATAACGTTAATTGGCCACCGTAAAGAGTTTAAAAGCTGGCGTATCGAGCGTTAGCCCTTTGTTAGAGCGATGCTCCCATAATTTGCTCCTTAAGATAAAGGAATTACTGTATTGATATATTGCTGCCACATCTCATCATTCTCTTTTTAATCACAACACATTGTCATTTTTATTATCCGATGCACTCAATCCCCATTTAAATCACGAAAGGCTGAAATATCCATTCTAATTAACAATCAGATTATTCCCCTTCGATTTCTATCGCGTGATAGTTGATGAGGGCAAGGCTCGAATCAGGTTACACGCATGGAATAGAGAGCAGATAGTCTAATTGTCTATTTCCACTAATCGTCAAAAACTGAATAACAAGACATTCTCAGGATATTTTTGTTATTATGATAAATTTTTTGGACAACCTCACACTTTTAGGTTACTCACTCTCTATCACGGAATAGATAGAGAGTAACGTCGCCATTCAGATTACAGCATTTGTGGTATAATACCAGTAGAATGTCAATCATTTATTTTATCACATCTGCACCGATTTTAACACCTCTCCGAAAAGAGAATTCCTTTTATCAGAATTGTGCTAGTTTGTGCACCTCTCCGAAAGGAGACTTTTGATTTTGTTCTAAATAATTGAGACGCGCATCATTTTTTATTGTAAAATAACTGAGACAATAAGCCAGTGCTGAATATCTAAGTTTGAACTCCATTCATTACTGGAACAGGATAGCATTACTTTTCACCGAAGCACTGGAGAGTACTTTCTGAAGGTTTTCAAAGATGTCTGCTAGTGTTCTATCACAAATACCGCAATCTGATTGGCTACGCCACTCACAATCCATTCCGAGCCTGTCTTGTTTTTTAGTTTAGAACGACTAGTAGATTTATACTGAAACAATAAGATTATTTGCTCACGATTTCCATGCTATCCGTGATAGTTGATTTGAACCTTGCCCTCATCAGCTATCACGCGATAGAAACCCAGTCTTAAGCTCATGAATACCTCCTTTTGTTAAAGACTAAATTTTCCTCGTTTACAACCAGCGCCCCACTTGGCATACTGCGGTGATGAGTTATCAGCCAAAGAAGTGAGTGCGCGGAGAAAGTATTCGTTGTAAAGTGAACTACGTTTTAATCGTCAGGAGCAAATTTTGTTACAACTTGAATTATTTTGATTTGTGAGCTTCAGCAAACGAGCTACATTTACTTGCAAGTAACACCGAAGAGACTCAAGCCTTTCCGACGCGCGCTTACATTGGAAAAATATTAATGTATCGTTTTAATCAGATTATTTAAAATTGTGCGTTACAACGAACCGATCATGCTTGTACAGGCACGATTTTTGCTCTTAGAGGAAGACAAGGGTACAATTCTGGGTGATGAATAATTCGGTTAAATTTTCCGATCAGCTCCCAACTCGACTTTGACCTACACTCGGATAAATTAACTCTACTATTTGCGACGCAAAGTAAACACAAACAATGTTGATGATCATTTCGAACACAGAACTTTCACTATCAGATGGGTTGGTTCGATTTTACCATCACAAACGAATTAAAACGATTGATCAAGTTGGCGCTATAATCTTTTCTTCCTAAAAGAAACTCGAAAACAGAGGTTTTTGGACCACGAGATGTTTTTCCTCGTTCGTCTTTAGCATTTGGAATATTTAAACCTTTTTGTCGTCACCTCATAACTTATTTCAACTTTACTTGACTAAATCAAAACATTTCATGCATTTCTTCAAAAACTAGATCTGTTTTATGACTTTGCGAAGGGCAAATCAACCATAGCTAAATGGGATATTATTTTTCTCGAATTATACATGGAGCCCACTGGGCAACAATTTCAAATCTTGCCACTGACCTTGAAAGCTAACTATCACGTAGGGATCGCTTTTTCCGCTGAATTTATCGACATTTGGCAGATTACTTGCATTGTTCACAACCACCTTCAACATGCTGGTGAGCTGAGCTTCACTATCAAGGTTTACATAAGCAGTTATATGCGAGAAAATCGTGCCCTTTGATTCAATCTATAGGAAGTCGTAGGCAGAGAGGGCAGCTTAGCCACACCTCTCCTTCATAATGATCGCTAACTAGCTGTCAATCACTTCTCATTGACCGCTCACTTGATTAAAAATTGAAAATTCTATTTTCATCAATTACACCCTCTTAAGGTGCAATCATGGCTATAAAGTTTTGTGGCTGACGCATTAACTTCCTTTCCTTGAATTTTTCAAGGTGTAATTTTTTTTAAAGTACAAAAAATTTTCATTGAGAACGAAAAAATGCAGATCTGCCTTCAACCACTCGAAAACGATCTGCATTTTTTTTGAGCTGGAAACTTCGCGAAAAAAAAAATGAAGCATTCCTGCATTTTAGCCAAGTTACGAAGGTGATGATGACGCCTTTTGTGAAAAGAATCCCCACCTACAGTTAAAATTCAAATAAAAGAAAAAAAACGGTATACGTAGCAACAAAAAAAAAAAAAAAAAAAAAAAGAAAACGGCACATACGGCAACAAAAAAAAATAGTACATGTAGCAACATTTGTGATCGGAGTACAAACAAGACCGCAAAACGAGAGCACGTATACTCAGTCTTCCTTAGTGATATGATATTTTTTTCATAAACAGCACTTGAATCGTTAGTATCCATGTAACCTGTTTCAAAGCTAAGCTTGTCCTACGTTCCTTGTTGATATACGCTGGGCGTCATGGTGACCAATTTTCCCCAGTTCTGAAAATAGGCAAAATACGGAGGGCATAAATAAAATATTTTGTCTTTATTTCAGGCGCTTGCTTGAGGATTCGTTAAAAAAAGGTTAAAAAAGATTTAATTTATTACCAAATGGAAATTTGTATCATTATAAAAAAAACAATACGGTAGTGACCAGTAAACACAGCTTTGCATGTTTTGGAAATTATGAATTTGCTAATGATGTTTTGTAAGAGGAAAATGTCATTTTTATTTCAATCTTGTCAGGTCGTTCGAAGCTTATACTTTATGGCAAAAATCACGCCATTCTTGAAATTTTAACTCATACTTTTTTTTTGTATTCCCTTTTTTTGGTAATCTCAAATTAGGGTCAGCCATGTTATTTTTCAAAAGGGTGGCGACACATACTATTCATCATCAGCTTTAAAAATTGCGGTAAAAAATGCTCCCATCACCACCTTTAAAACCTCAGGCTAATAAAGCGAAATTTGAATTACATAGAGTTACTAAGAATAACAAACAGTATTTTATTCCCAAATTGCTTTCCTCTACAAACAAGAAAAGCTGAGACTTCATGTCCATTCAGAGAAGCGAAAATTATTACCGTGCACGTACGACTCTTTGATGAAATTACACAACACAAATATGTTTTGGAAATCTCTGCTGACCACAATATTGGAACGCCTTGGGGAAAATCACGATGATGTAGCGATTCTTCAATATCCTCTTCCAGGTAATATCATTTCATACCCATCATTGCCTTCTCGTGGATATCATGATGCTGGCAGAGGGTTGGTTTATTAAAAAAGGAGAAGAGCTATTATCTACTTTAAAATCTGCGGCCTCACAGGAAGAGAGAGACGAAGCAATTTATACATTTATCGAATGGATGGAATCCAGAGATTCCTTAAGTATTCCAGAATTTGATTCGAATCTGGAGTGGCTGAACTGCAAAAATTCATTGTTCTTCAAAGACCAGCTTCACGGAAAGTTATGTGTCTTGGATTTCTTTACCTATTGTTGCATAAACTGTATGCATATCCTACCAGATCTGGAGGCACTGGAACACCTTCATTCCGAGAAAGATGGCCTTGTCATACTCGGTGTTCATTCGGCGAAATTTGAGAACGAAAAATCGTCCACAAACGTATTAAGTGCAGTGTTACGGTACGATATCAGACATCCCGTGGTAAATGATTCCGAGGCAAAGCTGTGGCACTCTTTGTCTGTCCAGTGTTGGCCAACTCTAGTCGTTGTTAGTCCAGAAGGAAAAATTCTTCTTAGTTTGGTGGGGGAGGGGCACCGAGATCCGCTCTTACAATTTGTGGGAACAGCTCTTAAATACTACAAACAGAGAGGTACTGCAACATTTTTTACATTAATTCTTTTACTTTCAAAACGTGTCATCCACTAGTGAAAGGCCAGAAAGAACTGAATTGGAAATGAATCGTGCTGAATCAAGGATTCTCGTTTCCATATATGACATTGCAATTTTCCCCCATGTCATGCATCGGAGAAAAAAACCCAACACACCAACAAACAATCATAAAATAATTTAGAAAACAAAAAATAGAAGGTTTGGAGCATTCACCCCTGAAGATCATAATTTCCCATACTGCATTAGTAACACTTTGAGTTGGTTTTTTCTATGGCTAAAATACAACTTGTATTGTTGAAATCTGTCAACATTTTTCCTAGATTAGTTATTTAACCTTTTATAACCTCAAAAGTCACATAATCCCACTCAGGTGTCTGTTTGTCATGATAAGTGATATGCTTCTTTGGTGGAAACTCTCTCTTCTCAATATTTTCTTCCCACCAATCTATTGCATATTACCCAGCACCTTATTCTTGTAGGAAAAGTAAAAGACCATTCCATTGGCATGTCTCTGGTCAAAGACACTCTTCCACAGACAAGACTCTCATTTCCTGGAAAGGTATCCATGGACAAAAGTGGAGAAAGATTGTTTGTGGCTGACACAGGACACCATAGAATCCTTGTAATTAGCAAAGAAGGAATTATTTTAAATGCAATTGGAGGCGGAGAAAATTTTGAAGCTGGATTTGTTGATGGATCATTTCAAGAAGCTAGATTTCATTCACCACAGGGAATAGCCATTGAACAGGAAATAATTTATATTGCTGATACAGAGAATCATTCCATACGACAGGTAAGTGATAATTTTCAAAGAACTACTTTTTGTTTTCATTTAATATTTTCTTCTCATGTAATGTTTTGGATCTTATCTTTGATTTATGATTCTGGAATGCAATTCCTAACTCAAAGTTACAACTGTTTATGAGACTTCTTTGGGATAAACTTTTGAACAAATTTATGTTCAATATGTTTTTTCAGATTGATCTTGAGAAAGGAATGGTCACCACTGTCGCTGGCGATGGAAAGCAAGGAAGTGACAAGGAAGGTGGAAACACTGGAACATCACAAAGCATCAGTTCACCATGGGATGTCCTTATTGGCCCACCACCTGGTTTGTTTTCAATCTTTAAAATGTAGATATTTTTACTGACCTATTTTGTTCTGTTTTTTTGTTGTTGTCTTTTTTTTTGTCAATGATTACAGTATGACAGCCCAATGCAACTGATATTTGAAAGTCTCATATTGGAAAATACAAATTTGTGCCTTCAGTGTTCTGAGGAGCACACCTTTAAGCTAGCATTTAGGCAAAGATGCTTTTTATGACAGTACGGTTTTTTCGAGGTCTGAATCACACTTTCCTGCCATTCATTATCTAATTTACTTAAGTAAGCTCTTTACATGAACATGTACTAATTTTCCACAAACATTAAGGTAAAAATTGGTTGCAGCTATTCCTCTTGCCTTGATTTAGTGAGTCTGTGATACTGTTGCTCTAGCAATCTGAAGAAGATCCTTTTTTGGATTATTCTAAAGACGTCAAGTGTTCAGCATGCTAGCATTTCATTGCCTTCTCTTTTTGTTTGATACCCAACCCATGGTGTTCAAAGTATGAAAATGTGCTGTTGCTAAGAAATCCTTTTTCCCTGTTTTTTGTTTTTTTTTGTTTTTGTCATTTCCTTTATTTATCTTTTTTTATCAACATGTACTTCCTTCTTCACATGCTGGGTTTCCCTTCTTCAATATACCTGGTTTTTTGTGTTTTGTAATATAATGACCCTTTGTAGTTTCTTATTTTTTTTTCTTTTTGCAGGTCCTACCAATGCAGAGGATGGAGATGTTAGAGATGTTTTGTACATTGCTATGGCAGGCACACATCAAATATGGGCGCTTTACATTAAGGACAGCACATGGTTAAAAGGGAGGTTAGTAAACATGTTAGTCAACTGTCATTTGTTTGTTCATCCATTGAAAGTGGTTAATTGTTACATTGGTTGAATCGTTTGTTCTTCCACTCATTCTTTTTTGTCAGTTCTTTTATCATGTGTTGCCACAGTCAAATTATGATTTTTGAAGCAACAGTAACCCCTGATTTCTTTCTCTAACATCACCAAAAGTAAGAAATGAATTAAGGAGACCTGTGGGGCTAGTTTGTTTGGTTGTGCTGCTGCCAGATTTAGGAATCTGATTCTGTCAATAATTCAGTGAACTTTCCATCAATTTTCTTTCAATTTGTAAAAGTAGACTGTGATGAGACATTTAAAAAGTAACTCTTACATTGTTAAACTTAAGTTTTATGTCACATGTTATGTTCATGTTCATATTGGGTTTATATGTAGACCCCTTTAAAAGTGCTATTGAAAATGATACACTTTTGGTACAGGCACATCATCATCAAAACTGAAATGATTCCATACAAAACTTGTAATCCTTTAATAAATTTCCCAAAACATGAGTGATAGTCTGCTAAAATCATAGCTAGTCCCCTCCCCTCCTTTTGAAGTAGCCAGTTCATGCTTCAATGTCCAAATCAGTTAAATTCTCTCATTTCCAATGCTTCCATACATGTTATGTATGGTGCATATGAAAATTTTCACGTATCATTTCATGGATAAAATTCTATAATTTTATTTGTTTTCCTGTATATTCATCTGAAGATTCTTTCATTGGTAAGTCATTTTTGTCAGTCTTATAATAAACAATCTTTTACTGATTGTGTTTCTAATGCCTCTTGGTATAATTTCGTTAGTTCTCAAGTAAAAGGAACATGTCTTCGATTTGCTGGAAGTGGTGCAGAAGAGAATCGTAATAACAGTTATCCCCACAAAGCAGCCTTTGCACAGCCTTCTGGCATCAGTCTTGCAAAGGAAAAACCCTTCAGATGCTTATTTGTGGCAGATAGTGAAAGCAGCAGTATAAGGACAGTTGATGTGGCCAGTGGTGCTACAAAGGCTCTTGTGGGAGCTGACAGGGATCCAACAGTAAGTGAGAGGCACTTGATACATGGGTAGGCTAAGAAAAAAAAACCCATCCTCTGGAGTGAATTTAACGTATGACATTACTTAGTTATTAATCGTATGTTCTACCAGTGAGCCAGGTGGAAACGCGAATGACTAGTCGTCTTGGGGTAATTTTCGATCGAGTGTCTCAAAATACCGAAACCAAGGAAATCACAACGCCAGTCAGAAGAAAGGGAAGTACCTTTAAGAGCCAATGTGGAACTCAAAGCAAAAACCAACAAAACTGCCTAAAGCGCGGGAAAACGCGAGCGAGCAAGTCGCGATTGGTTTGAGTTTGAATCTGATTGGTTGAGAGAGTGACGCGAGTTTTCTGGACCAATCACAGGGTAAAGTAGACGAAAGACAAAGCAATCTCAGATTACAATGTACCTTTACCACTCAATCGAAAATTGCTCGAGTCCCAGTGGTTTTGGTTTTGCTTCTAGACTAATCACACCAGTGTGGCGGCTGAAGGTTGACAGATGCCAATTGCAGAGTGTGCATGTACTGAAGCAAAACTAAGGCAACCATCTGCAATCCTGGATTATTTTAGAAGCCACTTTGTTACTCTGTTCCGAGTGGGATCACCACCTTATCATGGTGGGGCAGTGTGACAGCCTTATGCGCTGGCGCAACGAGCGACGATGATGATGACTTTGTTACTGTTCCTCAGGTCGTTAACACCTGCACCTTCTAGGAATGAATTTTAGGATAAGGTGATTTGGTTACATCAAAGGTATTCTTCTGTCTAGTGCATGCCCAATAAAACGTTGCGTTTCTCGTTTCCAGAATCTTTTTGCATTTGGTGATCAGGATGGTAAAGGTGTTGATGTCAAGCTGCAGCATCCCTTAGGAGTAGCTTGGAATCCGCTGACACAGAGGCTGTATGTAGCAGACTCGTACAACCATAAGGTATCCAAATATTTTTAAACAGAGTTTGTACTCCGTGGCAGTGCGTGGATGATTGCGCACTGTGACATACGCTGAATGATCCATATATACTGAATGATTCACGCTTGATGTCCTTTTCTGCACGAGGTGGAAAAACTGTAGATTCGTCGATTTTAAACTAGTCGTTTCCCTCGCAAATGGACGGGAGTTTGCTTCTTTGGCGTGCGCGAAAGTCATCATACTTACATGTATGTGTACGAAATTTCTGTAAAAATGTTTTCTGACAGGTTAGGTTCGAGGGACATAAATGAGCATCTGTGATCACTTCAGCATAACAAGCTTGGATCAATGTAAGTATCTAAGCAATTGCGCACATACCCTAACTTGTTATCAGTTGACTGTTGTTTCGTCAGAGGAGGGGTAAGTGCGCATTTGCTCAGATACTGACATTTATCCAGAAGCTTCATGCGTACGTGGTCCTTTCTTGATCGTGATTATATATAGCTATCTTGCTGCTCCGTTTCGAGAGACATTCCAAATTGCTCTGGTATTGACTGCTTTTCGATAGTATTTATTGTGCCGTTGATTGCATTATTTTTCTGAAAATAATTTTCTGAAAAATTTGCAAAGCCGTCCTTCAACACCCTTTTTTGATCCAAACTTAAAGCAAGCTCTTGCTGACGTGAAACCAACTCTTCCGAGCCTAATTACATGTTTGTCTTTAGATTAAAGTTATTGACCCAGCAAAGAAGACTTGTGAAACACTTCTGGGCTCTGGTAAACCAGGTCTGTCTTCTGAGCAGGGTGGGGTACAGTTTGACGAACCAGGTGGTTTGTGCGTCAGCCCGGATGGACAAACGTTGTATGTAGCAGACACTAACAACCACGCCGTCCGAGTTATTGACTTGAAAACACTCTTAGTGTCGCAGGTAAGAGGCTATGAATAGCGTTCTAAGCTTGCTGTAGGCTAAAGGAAGTGATGTTTATGTTGTCGGGGAAAGAGTGACCATGACGTTTATGATGTGTGTGGTACGCTAAGTTTGACTCAGATATTTGACAAAATCACTCTACTGTAAGGCAATACATCCGGTAAGTAGTTTAGCAACCCGATGAAAGCAAACTGGCGCTACACATTCAAATTGTATTACATATATCGCACATGGCAAGACGCGGCACTTCAGGTACATGTAGATGTAGCGAAATATGAAACAGGAGAGAATTCAGGCCGATACTATGAACAAGTATAGTGCGCATGTCTTTTTGCTTCACTGCATTTAGTTTCTTCTCATTGAAGACAAATTTTTTGTTACCTAAGGTCGTTTCTTTATGTATATTTTTTTCATTAACTTACGGAAAGATGTTTATTAGATGGAATAAGAGTAGTAATCAGATGAAACAATCTCAGGTATCATCAGGGGCCTTGTTTAAGAGTTTTAGATCGTTTTGGTATCCAGCATAATTCGGATAACAGTCTGGAATGGAGTTTGGTTAAGTTAGCACAGGTTGAAGTCAGTCGCAGAAAATTCCGCTGAAAGAGATGTTTTCCTTCGTAGTTAAATATTGTTGAACATTCTAAACTTTCGAAAGACCGTGCGGTCGCCGGCGAGTCAAATAAAGTGAGTGCGGTGGCGAAACGATTAACGTCAAAAAGAACGCCAATCACACGCAAAGAACCCATTCACGTGACCGGTGGATCGTGCCTGGAGATGAAACTGGGAATAAGTCTTCCTGAAGGATGTTACCTTACTAAGGGTGTGACAAGTCCTTGGCAAGTTATGACCTTTAAGCTTCAGGAAGGTGAGAATGAATATTCTTTGATGCTATGTGGCTGTAAGAGCTTGTAAGATCTGTTTGAATTGTGAATGAATGAGGAAGTGAGCAGCTTGGCTTTGTGCGAGTATACCTTCAGAGAATCGTTTATATGTGGAGCGGTTTTTTAATTTCTATACTTTCAAAGCTGAGGGATTAAATGGAAATCGACGTACTAACGCTTCATTACAAACAAAACCATTACCCTCGGTATACGGTACGGGAAGGAGGATACTGCAGATTGCTTGCTTTAATGTCAAAGAAGTATACAGAAAACCACTTCGTAATGGCTATTCTGTATATGGGTTTTCTTCCAGATGAAGAAGTTATCCAAGAGGTATTCAAGTTAGAACCTTCATCTGGCTCTATAGGTGAAGGTTCTTTTCAAGCTCTGTGCAAAGTCCAGGTGCCAGAGGTAGACTGGGAACCAAAGACTATTATGAGGGTGAGTATCTACAGTTTGTTTGACGTTAAGGTTGGCCTTGTATCCTACAAGTGACATTTTCTGTCAAAGTAATGAAAGGATCCGATCAGCCAAAGAGCAAGTTCACGCTTCATCTCACTTAATTTTGATGTTCTCTGGTTTTGGTCCTATTAGATCGAAGCGGTGATTTATTTCTGTGAACCAAGCGGGACATGTAGAATGGAGGGCTTGGTCTATGAAGTACCACTACGCCAAACAAGTGGAGATGGCGAGAAGCAACTCCAGATAAGCCATGTTTGCAAGCTTTAAGAAATTAAAAAAATTAATAAAAACCACATGCTTTCAAAGGAAGAATGTAATCGTTTGTCTCACGATGTGGTCGCTTGGGACGTAGATTGCGAGGTCGATTGAGTGCGACTGAGTACGGTCAACCTGTAGGAGACCGGTACTATGTATTCGAAACTTTGCGATCCGCATCCAAAGTGAACTCATCGTGAGAAAAACGATTACATTTCTCGTTTGGAAGTGTTATTTACCACGATGACAAACCAAAACCTATTTTACAATATATAAACCACATGGTTGTCATCTGGCAATAGAGTAATGGGTTATCTAAAGGTCTATTATCAGACTTTTGGAAATTACAGGAGGCTCTTCAACCTTAGGGAGCAATCGGGTGTTCATATAGAGATTTATGTTTTTGTCTCTGTTCGTCCATGACGAGATGACCATTACAGACACTGCTACTTTACTGGGGCAAGATAATGAAAACTTCTTCGACAGATAACTGAATGTTGCTTCGTTTATTACACTCATGATGATTAAGATCAATTTGGTACAAAGGTGATCTTGCCAAGATAAAATGTCTGATGAAGAAGTACTCTTGTTACTTCTGGCTACGTGAAGCATATTTTGGCATCGATAGGAATTGTCTTTTGTGTGAAATTAAAAAACAATTAGAAAATATTTTTTTGTGGGCAAGTCAATCCCACGAGTAACTGCGTCAGTTACTACTAATGTTTTCACATGAGAAATGCAGGTAGATTTTTGATAAAGAGGTATTTTTGTTACTTAAGGTATTAAAAATAGTATTTTGCGGCTGATAGGCAATATGTTACAAATTAAATTGGAAAAATTGGGATAGGTATTTTTTCGGGTAGGTCACTGCTGTGGTTAACTGGGTTAATAGATGTTTTGGGGTGCGTTTTATTTTAATTGAGATAAAACAAATGTATAAACAATATTTTGGCGTTCATGGGAACGGTCGTGCTTGATAAAATTATGAATAAGGAAATATTGACGGCAATATGTTTCCATGTAAATTAACCAGAGTATTTGGTGTTTTATCAAGCAATTCTTTGGCTGACAATTTTTCATTTTTTTTCATTTCCCGCGACATGGAAACAATTGGAAAACTTCTTAGGAACTAAAAAAGACTTGAGCTCTTTCGACCATCGATGGCTTCTTTTCCTTGAAGAGAAAAATTTAGGTTAAAGTGAATTCAAATCGATGCTGCAATTCATAATTATTTGTATGTAGGATAACACTTGTTGTAGACCGCAAATATATAGCTATCTTAAAAATAGCTAGAAAGCAAATATTGATGTCTTTTTTTTGATAAAATAAACTTGCATTTACATTTTTTATCTTGAGCTAGTTTTGACTTTATTTAAACTGTAAAAATTGAAAATTGAAAATTATCAGTTTCATTGGTTTGGGTTTTAGAGGGGAGGTTGTGGAGCTAAATAGGGTAACATTTGTAGATAAGAATGGGGATGATCATGAATTTGGGTTTTTAGAGACTTCCTCAACAAAAAAATAGCAATGATGAACGAAAACTGCATTGTTGAAATTTGTCCTTCTTTAGTAAGTTTTGTGACCGTGGAAACATGCATGTGAATTGTGGAGAAGAAATAGGAAAATAGATATGATATTAGATAGGCTTTCGAGCTCGAGTCACCTATTTCGAGCTAGGTTGCCCAGAAACAAATATTGATCCTGATATTGTTAAGATATTGAACTTTTTCAAGAACCGACCAAGACATAAAGCAAACTGAGATGTAGACGTAAGTAGGCTCTTTAACCCCTACGAGTGACTAGCATCTAATTTCTCCTTACTATAACACTCGTGAATCAAACATTAACTTCGCGAGAATAAAGGAAATGATCACCAATTAAAGTTTCTCTTGATTGTTAAACAAATTCTCCTTTGAACAGTATGGAGAATATGCATATTGATGTTCAGGCGTAAAGGGTTTACTGTCAATACAACTTCCGCTCCACAAGAATTGAAACCAGAGACTTCGCACGTCTTCGCTATTGTCTTTTTTTCTGATTGTGTAAAAGCAAACATTTATTTTTTATTTATTTATTTTCAACTAATCTGTATGTGGTATTGTCTCCTCTGCCCTGATACCTCAGTAAAGCTGTCCCCCTTTAGCTAATCCGTCTCTGTAAATTCTAGAATTCTTTTAGGCCTACTTTAGAGGTTCGATGCACACCGAAAATAGCAAACCTTAACAGTTTGTGGTCAAAAATCGGTTTCGAAGGAGATGTAGAAAAACTGTGGTTTTATTTTCTATGAGGAAAATAGCTTGTGACCCTCGTGTGACCCTTTCGTGATCAGAAAAGGCGTAGAAAATAATCGGCAAAATAAACAACATAGTGTTGGTGACACAAGGTTTATCATTTACTTTGATGCTCCAGATAACGCAAGCTTCCATTACTGAGGGAAAAAACAGCGTGTTAGAAAGAGAGTGAGACACGAGGAACCAGAATGTAACTTCACATACTATTTTTAATTCTCTTTCTTCTGGCAAACATTCTCACTGGGACTCTCTCTTCCTGTTCTTGACATTGTTTTTTCTAGTTCGCTACCACATCTTCTGCAATTTTATTCAAGTCCCTAAGGTCCTTTTTCCGTAGTCTTGTATTCATCTTTTTAGCTCTTTTTGTTTTCCAAATAAATTTGCACTACGCCATTAAAAACTCTGCTGGCCTCTGAAAAATAGTGTCGCATATGTGGTAATACTTGGAGGCGATACCAGAAACATCTTTTAGTCAACAAATGGTGCGGAAATGAACTGACCGTTTGCACTACGATGTGGATAACATAAACACAGTAAGATCTTTATCGCGTATAGAAATTACTGATTGGCTATTCAGCTTCGGAAAAAATGCCATAATATTACTTTTGGTGAGAAAAAAATTCAAATTGTACGATAAGGAATCTTTTATTTTTGAACAGGTTTATGGGAAAGTTGTGATATTCGTTTTGTCTGAATTACAGAGAAAATATTCGTCGTTACACCAAATATGGCAAGAATTTAGGTCGTGACCCTTATCCGACGCCAAGCTTAAGTATGCTTCTTATTGTGTGTTTGCATTTCTTTGTATGTCGGAGCGTAAAGCTAATTGTTATGCAGAATGTTCTGTGAATGGGTGTGAGGCTGTCTGTGGAAGTCAACCGTAAAGATAGAAGCGTTCGTGGCACAGCTGAGTTGAAGGGTTTCACTTTCGTGATGGTTTAAGGTGTTCTTGGATTGCTGAACTAAAGAACAGACCAGGAAAATGCTTAAAGTAACCGTTCAACGAGCCACTGACCTTCCAGACGTCGATAAATTTGGAAAGAGTGATCCATACGCCAAAGTTATCTTCCATGGTAAGTTTCAGTGCTTGATCAATTCGTTTGCATTCGTACATGTACAAGCCGATATATGTACAATTATGGCATGTTTATAAACTTCCACTCGTTTTCACGTAGTTTAGGCTCTTATTTCGCGGGCTGCGACCATTATTACTTAGAAAAGTTCAAAAAGTTTGACTTGTATTAAAGTACACTAAAACTCCATTTTACTTGCTCTGCATAATTAGTGTTCATTATTATGCAGAATGTTCATGTAGAAATTTGCGTTCCAATATTCCAAGTTTCTGAGCGTTTAAATTTTGATCTTAGGTCATTTATTCCTTTTAATTTCTACCAAGATGAAGCAATCTAGTTTTAGATGAGCGATTTTGAGCATCTAACGAAATTTTTTGATTTGCTGTTTACAGTTTACAGGCTGTTTTTGAAAAATCAGTGAAGCATTTCAAACCGAAATTTAAATGTCGGCACTGCGCGCATGGACCTTTATCCCAGTGCTATTTAACAAACAATCTTGTATGCATAGTAACTCGCGTGAGCTACAAATTTCACCACGACATCTTAAAATAGGACAAATTTTCAATTTCCTTTTATCTATTGCACATTTAAAGTCAAGTTAAAATTGTGTTTGTAGCTTGAGGCAATCAGGTGGTTAAAGTGGATTTAGGAATTTTTTTAGAAAGGACAATACACGATGTCAAGTTAATTTTAAGCATTGTTTATTTTGCAATACCATATTTTGAAAACTTATTTTCACTCTAAGATTTTCTGTTTCTTGTCAAGGCTTTCACTGTCCTAAGATGGCCGTTAGCGTCGGGCCACAAAGTGCAAGGATTTTTTTAATCTCCATTAAAGGCTCAGGAGTGTTTTCGTCTCGCTTCATTTCTCAAAGAAAAAAACCTTCGCCTTAGATAAAGACGGCTTTATCATTCAATATGAGCTTTCATTTTCTGAATGTCTGCTTTGAGTTTTTATGGAAATTATTAAAGAGATTTTGTAAAGAGGAAGCCATTGCATGGAATTTGGACAAGAGTTGAATTTACGCCCCGGGATATATTATGAAAATTAAGTTCTAGATTTGTTTTCTTGTAGAATTTTTTCGGAATGATTAACATTACAGGGCGTCTCTATAATCAAAATATTGGAGTATCACGGAAAGTGCGACATAATTAGCAAAGTAAAAAAACTGAAAGCATGAGGCTGCCAACATATTAAACAACATACCCTAATAATTCGTTGTTCATTTTGAGCAAAGTGATTTGAACATGAATATTTTTAACTATCCGAGGGACATAAATAATTCTAGAATTTCCACTGAATCGAATGAAGTGGATAGAGAACAATTCGCCTACTTGTTTTCGGGTTTGAGTTAAGCTCATTAAAAATGCTTTAACTTTATCTATGCAAAGCTTCTCAAAAGTGAAGTCAGGGGCAATCAAGTTGGCAATTTATTTTCCTATTTTTGAACTCCAGTTGAAGCCTCTCGTGATTATATCACAGCTGACTAAATACCGCCTCGAAATTTCGCCGAAATTACAGGGCGTTGTTGCGGCAGTATAATTCTATATGGCTCACCAAACATGACATTTTTGCATCATTTAATTCAGTGTTAGCCATTCGACTGAATAGTAGTCATACATGTGGAAAAAAATCATTCATGGCAGATTAATTTTGAAAATCTTTCATGTGGAAAATTTGTTAACGTCTTGAATTTTGAATGACATGCAGACGCGAGTGGGTGACGACCTGGAAACTAACATGCAGATATAAATAAAAGACAAACCGATTAAATAGTCATTGGCTACCTCTCTGATTATTTTATCTACGTGACTGTCTTTTTTGTTTTGTTTTGCTTTGTTTGGATTTCTCTCTATGTTTTATTGTTTCGTTCTGTTTAGGTTATTTTCGTTTTGTTTTGTTTTGTTTGGTTTCTTTTTGTTTTGTTTTTCTTCTGAGTGTTCATATTTATATAATAATAAGGCAGACCGAGTTACGTTCCGATATTAACACACAACATGATGTAACCAGAGGATTTTAAGTTATTAAGTTTACAGAGCTTAGCAAAAGTTCCGCACTTTCCATGCTGAATTTAAAGACAAGCAAGGGTTTATACAGGCGAAGAACCGCGTGCGGTTTTTTTGATTCAGTTGATTGCCATTTTTTTAAAAGTATTTCATGACTTTTTTTAACCTGCAGGAGATGAAAAGAAAACTGAGGTTCAAAAGGATTGTTTAGATCCAGTCTGGAATCAGGTATAAATACAACTGTAAAAGCATATTTAAAAAAAGACTTGCATGTAACACTCTTTTTACTCTTCACGAGTTGTCCATTAGTGTCAGTGTTTTGTCGAATATGGCATCAACAAACGTCAGTCATGAACGTAAATAGCCCCTATTTCGCATAGTATCCTCAGGCAAAGTTAAGAGAACATAACCAACAGTGATTAGTGGTACACAGTTGATAGTATGCTTTAAACACATCCAAACCCTTTTTGTGTTTTGAAATTAATGCGTGTTTCCTTGATTGCAGGATTTCCAGTGGGATCTTTCAGGCCAACCATTGTCCCCGGATGACAAGCTTTCTATCGAGGTCAAGGACTATGAAAAGCTATTGGCGAGAAAGTAAGACGGTTGCGCGTTTCATAAAGTACTTTAGTTTGGCAAGGGTCTAACCCATAAAGGTTCTACGTTGCAAAAAGTATATTCGACATTTAACTCAACTTCGCATTATTATCTGAATGGCAGAAAATAAAAACACCTAGAGAGAAAGACTGCCTGTTTGACAGATGTTGTTTTCAGTTATGGGTACGAAGATTAAGGCACTAGCTATTAAATACATTGATAAAAATAAAGTTATAAAACAGCATGTATACCTCTGTCCTAGTATTTGTCAGAGACTAAATCCTCTATTCTTTGGCTAAACTTTTAGCTTTCTTAATTTATTACATTTATCTCCCAGTGACAACACATTTATCGAGGAGAGGCTAGAGTATCTGTAATTATTTTGCCCCTTTCTTTTTTTTTTCCAATCTCTTTAGGCTCCTTGGTAAAGTCGAAGTTCCTTTGGGAGAGCTGCTGGGAAACAATCAGATTGAAAGAACGTATGATCTGGTTGATGGAAAGAACAATCCCACTTTGGTGAGCGAAAAAAAACCAGGCTACGGTAACCGCATTGTAGGCGCCGTTAAAAAAGTCACAGGCAACGGAAATTTGGAGGATATTTCTTGTCATGCAACTGTGCTGTCGACTTTCATGTCGAGCGCCTATAAAACCATCTGCAATGCAAATTACAAGACAGGATATTTTTGGCTAAAAATACTAATTATTGTGTGCACAGTAATTAACACGTTTAACATTTCACCAACTTTAAGTAAAAAATACCTTTCTCGAATGTGGTAATATTCTATTTGTGATTGGTCTTAAAATCAATTTCTAATTCAACTACTGATTATCAATAACTAGCTTTCCTTTTCTCTTACTTACATTTTAACTTAAGGCTTGAAGGAAACATGTGAATATGAAAAAAAACTCATGGAAAATGCTAACACGGCTTTCTTTCGCGCGTTCTCCTCTTTTAGGGCAAAATTATGCTGAAGATTGAGTATTCTGCTCCTCCTGGGAGTGGTGGCGGTGACGCAGGAGGCGGGGAGGAAGAGGCTGGTGAAGAGGGTGATGAAGGTGATGAAGAGGACGAAGATGAAGAAGCAGGAGGCGACCCTGCACTTCCAGGACAGCCGAGAAAGAAGCGAAGGAGGTAGGGCGATGTTTCTATTGTTTGTAATTGAGCTAGAACGTTGTCGGTCTGAATTGGGAAGCTTACTACTCATCTTACTGTTTTCATACTTTTATTCATCCAAGGAAACGAACTAGCAGGGGAGGCAGAAGAGCTTGGTCAACAAAAGTGCAAGACTTCCAGGTATCCTCGTATGATTTGATTTAAATCTACAAACACAATTTTCTTCATTGTCCACGTAAGACACCTATCTATTAGTGGCTCGCTACCTTTTACTTACGCTTTGTACCTTGATAAGGAAACAGCTTTCTCAGTCCGTTCGGGGAAATCCCGAATTAGCGCTCACCCCCTGTCGACCAAAATTATTAATTAGTGCCCCCATCTGCTTTGAAAAGGCTCTCTCCTTCCCCCCTCCGAGAACTGAGACAACTGATTGTGAATCTTCATCCGGCCTTGCACGTTTACATCATACTTGTTTCAGTTTGAGAACAAGTAAACGTTGGATAAATTATTTCGAGCACCACCTGTGCTGCAAAACTATAGGATTAGCTCTTTTTAAATTGATACATAACTTATTTTGTTGTTCACACACAAATACTGTATCGCAAAGTACGAAGATTTCCGGCGACGATTCGGAAACAAAATGGATGAGCACCCCTCCCCCTTCCTTGATCATAAGGCTTCCCCTTAGAATAGGCATCCTTGTCTTCTCCTAAATTTGAAATAAAAACCTCGGAGCTGATTAGAAGGTTTGCGATGTACCGTCTCTCGTTCTTTCCCTTGGGGGTTAAAAGTTTTGTTAATTTTTTTATATTGTCACGTAGATCCGGATACGGATTCTTGAAGGCCGCCAGTTGCCAGGCAGCAATATTCATCCAGTTGTTCGTGTGACTGTGAATGGTCAGCGGAGAGAAACAGCTGTGAAAAAATCCACAAACAAGCCCGTTTACAATCAGGTTTGGGGCAGTCAATTTGTCTGTTTATTGTTTATCTTTTTCTAAGACTGCGTATGTTCACATTTTCAAAACTATTTCTGGGCCTATTGACTCAAATACAAGCTTCATCTAAAACGTTGTCCGCTTTTTGAAGAGATTCATCAATTGTTACGAACTTGAAGGTCATGGTATCGGCTCCTGTATAATTGTGTACATCTTTTGTGATTCTTACCGTACTTTAACTAATTCCACTCCTGAAGGACGCAGTTTCGTCTTAATGTTTTAACAATGAATTGCTCATCCATTTTAGACATTCTTCTTCAATTTCCATTTGTCGGAAGCGGAGCTGTTTGATGAACTGGTCACACTTGAGGTGGGTTTTGTTGTAATTTCTTAGGGTATACAGCCAGTCAGTTAAGATTTGAAAACAATATTCTCTCACTCTGGAAGAGATGTCTGTATAACTGTTGTTCCATGTCGAGACCGAGATACCGTCGGACGATGCCACTAATCGAGATTTAACTATGAAAGCTACTTGAAGTTTTTAAGGCAGCTAACCTCGGCTTGGTGAAGTATCAGAGAAAACCCGATCAACATATTTCGAGAGATTACGTTTCATTTCGACTGCCAAGGTACATCCATTGTAAAAAAAAGGGCTTCAGTATCATACAGAACCGGCGTTAAGTTATTATAGCAAATTACCTTCGACCAATCAGAGCGCCTGAATCTCTGTACCGCCTATGCCCTGATACTTATTGAAGACGCCCTTCTTACTTCTGCATGCATCAGTTTGGAGCATGGTTCCGTTGTCTTAGATATGATTCTAATGACAGATGTATTTTACAGGTCTTCAATTCACGAAAACTGCGCTCTGATTCACTGCTCGGTTATTTTGAGGTGCGTAGAACCTATTAGTCGATTGAATTGGTAGAGTTGAACAACTAATGATATTAGTACAACTCGTTAACATGGACATACACTTTTTATTCGCAGTGCGATATTGGTGGAATATACGAAATGAAAGGTAAGGTTTTGTATGCTTCTCGTGAAAATTGTCGAGGTGTAATTTTTGAAATTGCTATCCGTGTAACTCAAAAAGTTTTTCCACGTCACTCGTTTTATGCAGCAATTGCGAATAATATTTCTTTTCTTTTTTGGCAACAAAAGCCGCTCATGTGCATCAGGGCCGGACGGCTTTTCCAGACCGGCTCACGTGGACTCTCATCTGTTCATATGCCTTGTATTTTTAAGACTCATTCGTCAGTCTACTGAAATATTCGTTTTGGTACAAAATCGAAAAACATGCACATTTCTCAATGAGAAATTCTATTTCTCAAAGCTTAGAGTATTAAAAAGTAGACTTCAAAAACTTCAAGCCTTTTCTTACTTATGATGATTTTACAAATCAGGTCATTCTTTCATTCGCAAATGGGTCTTGTTGTCAGCACCAGCGGATAGAGATGAAGATGAGGTTTGATATTTCTATTAAAATGTATTTGCAATTAAATACGTGTCTCCTTTTATTCTGAGATTGAATGGAATCTAGTTATCGTGTGCTGAAGGTTATTGTCGAAAGGAGTGGAGCGTAGTGTAAGCTGCAGTTGACTGTTTGTAACCGACAAACATTCTTTCTTATTTGTTTTTTTTTTTAACGCAATAGGAGGAAGGAAAATCAAAGAAAACTCGAGGAGGAGATACACCGGCAGTAAGTACAATAACCGTTGAACTTGGGACCGATGCTATTGCTCCATGATCTTTGCCTGACAACAAATGACTTATGAAAATGTGGTCACTGTCTAAAATCTTCATATTGACGATTATTCGGCGTTCAATTTTTACAGATTTGATAGCCATCTTGAGTGTATGTATGTACTTGTGATATTTAGACAGGGTGGCCCAGTTCAGCTTAAAATCGGTTTGAATGGGGTCTGTGTAAACAATGACAAGGTCAGACCTTAACACCGGGAGATACGTTCCCTACTCTTTGCGAGAAGTGTGCGGTTTCTTGTGTTTTTATTAACTTCCCTCTACCATAACTTCATTTTCAGGGGTACTTGAAAGTCACTTCCATGGTCCTCGGACCCGGGGATGAACCGCCGGTGAGTATATTGAGTTGTGTCAACAATATTAATTTTTAGGGGGCGACAAAACGGAATCAAAGAGGGGTAGCAGTGGTGCCTAGAAGAAGGAATGATTTAAAAAAACAAGAACCTTGCAAGCCCTCAAAAGCCAGGATAAGGCTAGTACACCCTACTCCAAAAATGTGACTTTGCATAGGAAAACGCATCATGACGCTTTTCCGCTAAACAGCCAATAGCGTAAGGCATCCGTCAGCCGTCTGTTAGAGACCTATACTTCACAAAGCGTTTGAAGCGTAAAGCTATCCGTTTCAAAAACGCTAACAACAATCCGTTAAATTTGCTAGATGGGTAAAGTACCGTTGGGAACGTCAAGTATCCGTAAGGACACAAAGAGGCGTAACACATATCTTATCTAATGGGAGAAACAGCTCCGCTTAATACCACGACAGATTTGAACTAAGGCAAACATAAGGCCCTTCAGTTAAGGCGCTGAAAAAAAATCATTAAGAGAGATTAAAAGTTCTCCCAAACCAATTTCTAACTTCTTCTTTATAATGAATTGCCAAGGATTGGTCCCGGAAATCGCTTTATCTTGATACATAGAGGTAATGAGTTTGTTCTCTCTTTAGGCTGCAGCAAATGCTCAACCCAAAGATATCGAGGATGATATTGAGTCGTAAGTATAATCGTCTCTTCATATTTCTCGTAGCCATGGTACATCGAGATTTATCCGAACTTCACTGATATTATTTACAGATCTGGATTTGTTCAGTACAATTTCTGTTTCATGAGGGCTTGATATAGGTTATGGCACTTCTGACTCAGCACCTGGCAGTTATGATAATTGTTCATATAATATATTTTTGCTTTTTTTCAATCACTCTGGCTGTAAATTTGTGCATTCAGTATTTCTCACTGTTCTTATCGAACACACTCTGCAACGTGATATCTAATCTGACCTAGTCTTAGATCTGTTCCTGTTTTGGTTTCAGAAACCTTCTGACACCCGTAGGTGTAACTCGACAATCAGCCGTCTTCACTCTTAAAGTGTTTCATGCAGAAGATCTTCCACAAAGTAAGAGCTTACAACAAATCAATATCAGTATCTGAACAAATGTGTACCTACCCCTCCCCTGACCCAACATTGACCATAACTTGTTATCAGTTGATTGTTGTTGGTTGGGGTGCAGTTACCTCGACACTGACATTGACCGACATTCCGACTTTGATCATTACTAAAAAACATCAATCATCACTAATTACAGTACACTACCTGACAACTTACCTTACGAACGCATATGTATAAGCAGTACACAATACAAAATTTCACGCGGCAGGTGATTTACAATTCGCGGTTACAGTACTTAACATTTGTTAGTGTATACCGCTGCTACTCCTTTGCTCTTCAAGACTCGCAGATTTCTATGAATTGATTTCTAAGTTTAACGTGACTTTTCTTGTGTTACTCTCCAGTGGACACAGGAATTGGGCAGAGCTTTAAGAAATTCTTCAGCTTCTTTTCAAGCGACGATGATAAAGAGGTTTGATGTTTAGCTTTCGCTAGGTAAACAAAAACTTGAACTTAAAAACCCTGTCTTTGCACTTTTTAAACCAGCATCGCTGGCTAATTAGGCGGGATGTTTTTGCTGTGTCTAGACGACGTCATTCTAGTTTTTCTTTCTAACTGCCTAGTTTTTAAAGAGTTCGAGTCGTTTTTGTGTCGGTTTTTCCGGCCACTTTGATGATTTCTTGGTGAAGTATAAAACACAAAGTTTGGCTAAGTTATGTGATAATGTACGAAATCACGGCTCTTGTCAAACTGAATGTCAATTGGTTTGTTTTTGACTTGTTCTTTTGCAGGAGGACAAAGGAAAGAAAGGCCTTGTGGATCCATACATGGAATTTAGCTTTTGTGGGAAGAAGGTAACAAAATCCTACCTCACACTGTGGCTGTAGTACAATTTCTGTCAACGCATGTCGATAAATGAAGATAACAATGGTTTTTATTTTTTATTTTTCATTAGGCAACGACGGGAATAAAATACCACGACAGTAATCCAGAATTCAAACAGTTTCTGAAGATCCCTCTCATGGTAAATACAGTCCTTTCAGGCCTCTCGTTTAAGTTACTTTTATAACTTTAATTCTGATACAACTCTAACAAGTTATTGCATCTTTTGGTTATCTCGAACCTGCTAGAACTAAGAAATTACAATTCTGATTACAAATTACAAATTCCATTCCTTTTGAAAAAGGATGTTATGGAAAAGTATGCTAAGCTGCTAAGCTTAAATCCTTATCGTCTAGAAAACAAAGGAAATTATTATTATTATTATTATTATTATTATTATTATTATCATCATCATCATCACTACTGGATTTGGGATGGCGTAAAGTAAAAGGGTTAATCTTTTCGCTTGATTCTCGCATGCGTCCTTCTACCGTGTGTTCCGATCATATCTGATCTGTGACTCTTAGTTTACAAACGTCAATGTGGCATTGCTTCTTTTTCTGTTACTTTCGTATTAAATTTTTATCTCTTTTTGAATGGCACAGCTCCCGTCCATGTGTGAGAGACTGAAACTGCAAGTGTTTGACTGGTAAGTTACAATAGTTTTGTAACATTCATAAGTCGAATTTACCATCTAGATCCATTATTCGATAGTGTTCATGAAAATGGTTCGTATATTCAAACAATGCAGAAGTGTCGGGTGAAAATGCTGGAGGAATTTTCTTTATTATTCAGTCTCAGTACGTGCACCATGATTGGTCAGTTTAGTGGGCCCTTATTTCCCCGTTACGGTCAAATAAATTCAAAAATTAGTATGAATTCAAATCTTCCTCCTCTAACTGAACTTAGAGATATTAAATATCGCGTACTATCCTCGTTTTTCAGTCCTTACTGTAAGTTAAGGGACCTCGTTTTTTCTAATCGATCCGTAACTTTCAGTGCGGACCCCGAACTCGGTTAATAAGAGGTACATTTATTTACTTGTGTTAGATTGTAATGCTTTTGTTTTGTATTTGTTGGTGTCTTTTGTGTATCCACATGTTTATTAACATTTGTTATTCCGTTCCTCTTCAGGGACCGAGGTTCATCTGATGATTGTATCGGCACAGCATTTATCAACCTGTCGTCCATTGCCGGGCAAGGAGGTGATGAAGGTAAAGCTAAATATACAATGAGAATGATCCGATTAAATCGATCAAAATGTTACTCCGATTTTATTGTTTTTGCCTTAAACATCTTCTAAAACAAATGAGCTGTTTTAATTTTCAGGTTTCTTGCCTCAGTTTGGTCCGTGTTTTGTCAATTTCTATGGTTCCACTAGAGAGTTCACCAATTTGCCAGATGAACACGATGATCTAAACAAGGGAATTGTGAGTATACTTAACGCACGGCAGTATTCTCTCACACAAGCTCGAGGTTCTGAGTCATTTGTTAAACTTTTGGTCAGCGTAGCTTATTTCAATTTACATTCGGCTTTTATAGGTGCATTTTAGCTTGGTCTTTGATTAGATTTTCCAAGCTCCATTCAATTTGGCCCGTATAACGTGAAGTGGCGTGCCAGCGATTTGGCCACCATACACGGTTTCAATAAGATTGCTCAGCTGATTATAGGATTCTCACGCTCCGATCGGTCGAGGTTACGTCATATCTCGTGACAATCACCTCGGCCAGGTGATTCTTTGAGGGGCACTGGATTTCAAAATGGCTGCATCGCGTTTTGTTAATACTGAGGAATATCGGAGACCTTTTAGATTTAAATGGCTAAATTCATATATTGTTCTCTGCACTGTTAACTGTGAAGGAAATTGTTCCTATTGGATTACCCCAAAACACCATACAACTTTAAAACTAATGTGCATAGCTCTCGACAGGTCTTTATAACTTGAGCTTGGCCTTATGGGTGCCTACAATTCTGGTTATGTTCACAGTAGTTGCAAAACAGCCAAGCGAACGACATTCATTTACCTGTATTTTTCTTCAGGGTGAAGGTGTGGCATATCGTGGACGAGTTCTTGTTGAGCTAACAACGACTCTTAACGAAGATCTTAAGCAACCGATAGGCGTGCTGGCCAATGAAGACATCATTGCCGCTCAGGTGAGTAAGATCAACTTAACCTAACTTGATGAAGTCATATGAGATACTGTAAGCTGGCTCTATAACTATGGGGGGCCGGAGATAAATGTTCCTATATAAGTATCTGCGGAGTGTACTACTTCTTCTTGTGCCACTGAATGTTAAATATCTACACCGTATTCTGCTTTTCACCAGTCCATGAACGACTTCCTTCACTTTACATATTTGACTTACCTGACTAAAGAAGGTCAAATTTGCCGGTTTATCGGCCATGAATAGTTTATGTTGTCGTCACTCATGCCCGATTTTTGTGAAGCAGGTGCACCGGTTGCCCCACCCACTTATGATAATTGTTAGTAGCAGGTTTCTAAGGATTGTTTCCATACAGAGTTGGGTCAAATCTAAACGTTCATCATGTATATTACGTTTGATAGCTACTCATATGAACGACTTTTCTCTTCCAGCCCTTCCTGAGACGTGAAAGGTACAAGCTGTTTGTCTGTTTCTACGAAGCACTCATGGTCTCTGAGACAGATGGGCCTGTAGAATTTGAAGTCAGCATCGGTACGTAACTGCGAAAATTAAACTGAATTTTTTAATAAAATTGCGAGGAGATCATGCTGTGCCCTTTCTATAATGGTATCCACGAGGAAACTGTTCCTGGCAGAGGCACCTAAAAAAAAAGGGGGGGAGGGGAGGATGTAGACGGACGTAACAAGTTTCTGAAAATCTATCGATAGAAAGAGTTTTCTTTTGATATCACATCCAATAGGAAACAACGGAAACAAATTTGATGAGTCAGTGGCTGCGTGTAACACACCGTCCTGCAATGCTGTGTACGACGGTTGTCATTACTATTACCTCCCTTGGGGACATGAGAAGCCTTGTGTATGCGTGGAATGCTCCTGGGAGGATATTGCCTTTAGACTTGAACCGGTCAACATTCTCTCCAAGTTGGTAGAGCGGCTGGTAAGTGAGAAAATTGTGTATCGAGCGACTGTAGACTATGGCCAGTAATTTATATGGCAAACTGTAAGGAAGAAGCCTAGCAAAAAATCGTCAACGAGAGGACATTGTATGAACATTTATTAAATTCTAAATGAAGTGAAATAAATTGAGGGAAAATCATTTTGAGGTCTTTGTTTAAACTTTGTTTGAAACATAATAAATGGAAGTGATTTTGTTTAAGAAATCTGGCCTTCGTTTGAATTTTCACTTCATTAATTTCTAAGGAAGAAGTAACGTTAGTTGAGATGAGCATTACGTTTTATTTTATTGCATGAAAAAGGCGCTTTTTAGCGTTCATCGATTGTCTAAATTTGACCCCTTCACTCCCAAGATCTCTTTAGCAATTCTTACTTTCTGCCATAGATTCTTATGATGTTAGTTCAGAGAATTAGGTGTTGGATCAACTCAAAATCCTCCAACTGATATTTTACCTCATCCTTGTCACTTGTCTGCTTGAAATTGAATTGATATTATAAGGAGGAATTCTGTCTTAATCACTTGTGGGAGTTAAAGGTTTAAAAAAAATGCTTACTCTTGTCCTGAGCAAACCTCACCGACTCTGATATTGTGTTTTAATCTCAGCGAGAATCCGTATCACGTCTGAAACAAGCAGCTGAACAGTCCAAAGTTAGTGACGACCCAAAAATAAAGGATATGTTGTCTTCTCTGTTGGATAACATGGCCCGGGACTGCAGGTAACGTGAACCGATACAGCACAGCATTGAATTTAAAAGATGAGAATATCACAAAAAGGGTAATGACATACTGATAGCTGTGCCGCTTTCCTTTAGAACGGAGCACTCTCGTTTTAAGGAAGAAATTCCCAATCTTCCCGGAAAACGAAACAGTTTGGACAACAAGCTCCATCAAATGAGAGTTGACGAATTCGTAAGTACAGTGTAACTTTGCAAAGTAATCCACAGATCATAATTTCAGATCAGAATTTTCAACACTGCTTTTTGTCTACTCGACTTTTATTAAAGCAATTCGTACGAAGAAACAGAAAAAAATTGACTAACATTATTGGAGTTTAGAATACTACCGTGGTTATGATTGTGATGAATCCTTTTGTTTGGCATTTGTTGTCAACTGAAAAATCACCATTGTTGTTTTCAAGATGTTCTTGTTGGATGATATTGGTGCTCTGCAGTGGAAATTAGTACCACCTTTGGAGGGTGAAGAGGAAAAGGAGGAGGTGGACTTCAAAGAGATGTTCTCCGAGCTCGACAGCTTTGTACAGCGCCTTGAAGACTTAAAAATTGAGGTAACCTACGTCATCTATTAAATTTCAGTTTATTTGCATGCGTGCCCTACGGAAAATGAAGTGGATAATTTCATTACGCTGTATCAAAAGTCTTAGACGACACAGACCATCCTTTTATGTTGCTGAGCGGGTAACTATCTGTGTTGAAGGCGCTTAGCGAACTTTGAGGTAACATTCTGCCAACGAAACTTGGTCTAATGTAAAGTTCAAGGCAGAAACCACCCCCTCCCTACCCTTCCCTCCCCCCTCCCCTCCTCATTTGTACTTCTGGGTGGAGAGTAGTTTTTGTGAGAGTTATCTGTCTTGCTGAAGACCGTGTCTAAGACATTTGGCTACAATTAACATTTAACACCCCTCCTCTTTCGCACATTGCGTATAAATTATTTCTTACCACATTAGCTTTAAATTAGATAAGTAGCTCGAAATAAATAGCTTATGATTAAACTTGTGACCCTGAAGAGTTTCCGGTCATTTTGCCACAAAGTCCCTTGCTACAAAGTCATTTCGCTTCAACAGCATTTCGATTAAAGTAGAGCCGCTACAAATCATAACTCCTTCAACCCAGTACAGTCTAGCGTGCTAAACTGCTCATGATAACCATGTGTGTTCGAGCCAACAAATGTTCCGTGAAATACCACAAATACAGCAATACGTTAGTCACCATTAATTTTTTTTTAACCTTAAATTTTCTTGTAGCCTCAAGTGAGTTTACCGGACATTATCATATGGATGATCAGTGGTGACAAACGAGTGGCGTACTACAGAATGCCATCTCATTTACTGTTGTTCTCTGAGACTGAAGCAGCATGTGGAAAATTCTGTGGAAAAACAATCGAGATTCCCATGAAGGTACGTTCATTGAGAAACTCGTGTTTATCACTAGCCAAGATTATTTAGAGTCCGTCTATCAATGACACATAAAAAGGAAGGAGGATCAGCGCTGTATGGTCGCATTATTTTCATTCTTCCTCGCATTCTGTTCACATAGCTTCCTAATTATGTTCTCATTTAGAGAATCACCCAGAGCGCGCACGAACGCAAGGGAGCGGGAAGGGTTTTTTGTCTCCCGTTGCTGGGTAATACATAATAATGCTTGCGCATGGTCCTTCGCCATAAAAAGTTTAAACAAAACAAGAGTCATGGACAGATTACCCTTTGTTACAAAGTGCCTCGCAGATTATTTTATTTTTGTTTTTCTTTTATTGCCTTGGCTTGGTATGGCTAAACAACCTCTTTTCGGCTGCCTGACCTGTATTATGCTTTTGCAAGTAGTGAGAAAGAGCTGGTTGTAACATCTCCATACAAATTATACCAACCGATTGGCTTCCCTTTTCGTCCTTGTCGTTTCGTTCGATCAGCACTAAGCCACCGCTCACTCAAAACTGCTCTTCGCTTTTTTGTCTTTAGTATCCAGGCAAGAAAGGACAAGACGTCGAGGAACACCCAGAACTTCCAGCCAAATTACGCGTGGAGATGTGGCTTGGACTGGAAAAGCAACAGCAGTACTGGACTGCACGACCCAAAACTGAGGGGGATTTCTGTGTATTTGCCGAGACGGTAGGTTATTTAAGACCAATAATGATTTTGAGCGAGACCCTACAGGTATATGCAGGTGGCTCGGAAATCAAACGTTGTCCTGCATCACGTTCTTGCTTAGCAATAGACCCTTCCACAAGAGAGGCTAAAAATGAAACTATGAAGATATAAAACTACACTGTAAATATGTATCATTGCCTACATAAGCATCGTCAGTTTGATGATCTTTCAAAATGCTATGAACCAGCTGTTATTTCAGTCAAGACAAAGGAAATTTTGATTTTAAAAGTAGTGCAGACATTTTTATGTTTAATTATGGTTGCAGTTATTTAAAAGCCTTCAACACGGACCTTGTACTTCATGCTGAAAGGATATTTCATTTCAGTCGCCAATTTCGACAAAGTTCCATTACAGTATGGGGTGAAGCTTAAATAAGATTTAAGTGAAATGTAAGCTCAGAGTTTGTATGAAATTCACCCCAAAGTGCCGATGATTAGAGAATCCAAAAGATAAATTGATTCATAAATGTAGATATGTTAACAAGCACAACTACACCCTAATTTAGTTACATATTTTTATTTTCTGAAAATCAGTACGAAAATGAGGTGAAGATTATCAGCAAGTGGACCAACAATAAGCTGACTCGTCCTCGGTTCTCTGATGCATCTGGTGACGTAAGTACAATGTTATTTACCTTGATAATCGCTTTTCTTTCACAGCAGAATTAATTGTTCTTTGTAATCATTTTCTCAAATACTCGACTCAATAGTAATCTTTCTGGACTTTTCAGCTCTAGTATATGATCATCTGCCCCTCAAAGGCTGAGTGGCATGAGGGTAAATGTTCACGGGTTGTTTTCTTTGCTATTATTATTATTATTATTATTATTATTATTATTATTTTGTTTAACCTTTAGATGCAAAACACAAGTAAAAAGCGTGTGAGAGGACGGACAAGGTTCTCGCTTCGCGTGACTGCTCATTCACGAGCAAATCCCTTGGGCAAGGTCAAAACGTGCGCCTGCTCTTTGAGCATATTTTTCATTGGGATGACTCAAAAAGTCTTTTTATGTCTTCTTTTCAGTTGGAACTACCCCAAGACAAGTTTTTTCCACCTGAAGGCTGGAAATTTGAAGGTGGTTGGCAAAAGAAGCCTGAGCTCAGGTACAAAAATAATGGAATCAACGTTTCTTTAACTTTGTTGAATAATTGAGAAGATTTTTTTACCGAACATAACGATGACAGAAGTTCAAAATGATGAATACTTTCACAATGGAATTGTCCTCTGTCTGTTTTTGTTCATGAAATCGTCAACCACTGGTTTCGAGACGGGAAACGTCGTTGCATTTGCACTCCGAGCTACTAATAAGTTTTACATTGCTCCTAAAATGATACTAAAGTTCAGTTTTGCTTTTCGTTCAGTTTGTTCCACGATCCTGATGAAGGACATAAAGAATATTTGGTAGATATCTTTGAGAATCAAGCCAGAAGTTTTCCCGGTGGCGACTTCAAACCAGCCGGAGAAAATAACTGGACTGATGCGGTAAGAACCTTCCTTTTGTCTAATTTCACCTGCCTGATAAATTCTCCACTGACTCGTTCTTTTTAAATAGAACGGAGAAGAGGTTCCAGGTCCCTCTGCTCAAAAAGCTCCTCCCGGTTGGGCGTGGAAGTCAAAGGACTGGGAAGTGGACAAAAACAGAGCTGTCGATGGAGACGGTAGGTTACAAAGAAATGAAATACGAACTAGTGACTAAAGAGAAGCTATGTAGATGAAAAGAGGATATATCACATTGCCTTACTTGGATATGAATCTCATCTTTGAAATATGACTTCAGATTCTGTTGTTGAAATACGGGTAGATGGTTTCGGATCACTTCATGAATACTCTAAAATAATTTTGTGTTTATTGTAAGGATATATTTACCCTTGATTTTAGGCTGGGAATATTCTGTTAATCCAACGTATGGAATTTATGGGCCAGTCATGAAGGCTTACCACATGTCTAGGAGAAGAAGACTTGTGCGATCGAGGGAGCTAGTGGATGCAAATTCCACCAAGAAACAGGTAAAGTTCTTAAAGAGAAATATAAATGGTTTCCTAAAATAATGAACCTCTCAATTGAGACCTCATTTCATAGCCGCCATCAAAGTTGAATGTCGAGAATATCCATAATTACATCGCTTTTTCTTTGCTTCGCCACAAAATAATTTCTGGCCACAATTTTTTTTTGGTCCACAAAAAGCTACATTACCCTTTTAACCAATCAGATAAAAAGTAAAATGCTCGCGAATAAGTAGTCACTCGCGTTTTTTCCTGGACTCCAATGTTAGTCTGCTTGTTTTTACTTCGAATTCTCGTTAGCGCGTTTCGGAACATTACCCTGGCAGCAGGGTAACGTAGCTATAGGGGAGAATCGAAAAAAAGGGTTGACAGGGCGTTGTGATAACTTTGGTTTAAGTTTTGCGACGTGTAACGGATATGTGGTGTTTACTACGCTTTCTGTCTAACCCTTTAACTCCCGGAAGTGTTTAACAAGTAACCTCTCCCTATAATATCCATACATTACTCAGCAAACAGGTAATGAGAGTCATCGAACTTATCAGGTACAAGTTGTTACCTTGATCTAACACCAAATTCTTTTAACTTATTTACAAGGAAAGGCGTAGCAGCTAGAGAGGAGAATCGAAAATCAGATCTTGGGAGTTTAAGGATTATAAAAATTATATTTTATGTTGCCGTGCTTCTGTTCAGTTAGAGATCACAGATGCGTGCGGTAGGAAAAAAGTGGCACACGAGGCGCAGCCGAGTGTGTCACTGATGTTCTTACCGCACTATGACCTCTTCTGTTACCCATTACTGGACATGGAAACATGACAATATTTATTCTATTTGTTTTACATGATAAAAAGAAAAATGTTGCTAGTGGTTTCGTCATCTGCACCGTATGCGTCTGTCCTCCGATAGATCCAATCAAAATGCGTATACAATTCAGCTTATCATATGATTCATGTTGGTTAATTCTTCTTGATCCAATCTTCTCTCTAGGATCAATTACAGAAGCTTTTGGCAGAGGGCTGGGGTTACGCTCCGTTGTTCAATAAGAAATTTCACGCCAAGGAGAAAAAGCTAGATTTTGTGCGAAGAAGACGCTGGCTGTTGAAGATAGTACCAAGCGCAGGGAAGATTGATGGATTCTCTTGCAAGCTTCCACCAATTCTGCGAATCCAGCTCAAATCTAAGGTAAGTCCTACAGATGAACCCTGTTGCAAGGTTTGGTTCCCATTGGTACCGCAATGGTTTATAGTCATAAGGTTCTAATGATCTAGTGGGGACGTACGAGAAGCCTGTAATACCTTCTTGACCGACGTAGAGGCCTTCGCCGCAGTCACCAGCGGCAACTTACTGGAGCCAGGAAATTCATTGGTTAAAATGCGAGGAATGGATAACTTTCCTTATCATATGAAACTGTTTGGCCGTATGCGCAGTTATTGGATAACATTAGAAAAAAAAAATCCCCATATGAGAACAGAACGTGATGATGCGGGCAGGGCTGGAAAAAAAGCCGCACATTCCCGCGAAGATGAAAGGAAAAAGCGAGAAAAAGAAGGAGCGATGGTCTTGTATTGAAATGCTTTTCTTTCCTTTTCTAAATTCATTGGAAAATATGATTGTCATTATATTAAATGTGTTGACAATTTAATGTTGCAGGACAAAGAAAGTGCGTTGTGCATATCTCCAAGGATGTTTGTAACTTTTGCCAGTAAGTAGTCCCGCGATTTCTTCCTTATATTTACGTTTTTATTATCTATGCACTGATATCTTTCGGACGAACTTTGAAAAACCGTATCAACTTTCTTTTTCACAACAGAGCCACACAAGTATCAACTGTGGGTGTATCTTTACCAAGCACGAGACCTTATCGCCAAAGATGAAAATGGAATGAATGGTATGTTGGTTCATTTCGTACACGCAGTGGTCTTTCTTTGCTGTTATTATTTTTAACTCATGGAAATGAAAATTACTTCAATATATTACTTTGCCATTTTTTGTTCATTAAGTAGGAGGAAGGAAGAATAGCCAATACTGGGTTTCTTTAAGAACATGTTCCCTGACACCATGGAGAGCCGTTTATAGTCATAATCACAATTCTTTCCCCACAATATTTTAGCGCAAAGAAAACTACAGTAGAACTGCATGAAAAGGAAACTGCGTCAATAAACCTAATTCGTAACGCACTTTTTCCTATTTCATTTCAGATCCTTATGCAAGAGTTGCCTTTGGTAACCAAAGTCAAATAACGAACATTATCAGCAAAACTCCTTGTCCAACCTGGGATCAAACATTGATTTTTATGAACATGGAAATCAGCGAAGATCCTGAGAACCTCAAGCGAAATCCTCCCAGTGTGGTCGTGGAATTGTTTGACCATGACACGGGCATGGTACGATCAGTTGTGAACTAAAACAGTTTTAAGATACCGTTCAGTTGTCAAGTAGTTGGCAGCTTAATCGGGAATTCAAGGATCACTTGAAGTATAAAAATGTCGTCAAAGTGCTCTTGATATTGGAACCGTACCGTTAAGCAGAAACCGAATCATTTCGGTGTAAAATCTGCGTTCGATCTGGTTCAATACCTCAGTAGCTCTTTCACAGTTCTCTTGATAAACCGCTGTAAAATGCATTAGAACTTAGCACATGAAAGCAAATTGACCTACAAGGCGAACGATACGGTTTGAAAGGGAAAAATCATAAATTTTCCATTAAAAAATAAATGTCATCAAAATTCTTGGGGCTGCTCCTCACAACAGGAAAAGTGCCTTTAAAAGAATCTTCGATCTGGGTCAAACGTTTTTACCAAATGTTTATATCATTTTGTGAATAGTGCCAAGACGGCTTGCAGCTAACACTAGAAAAAAGATTTCTTTTTTCAACAAGCCCTACTTAAGGAAATCTTAAGGCATACTAATTGTCTGAAATAACAATGTAAGTTTGACTTCGCTCATATGACCGGCCCTTGCAGTTTACAGCTTGAAATTTGATTAGTTGAAGACCATTCTCCTTCACAATTTTTTAGGGAAAAGATGATTTCCTTGGTCGTTGTATGTTGACTCCAAAAATTCGACTCAAGGGACTCGAAGAACCAGAAGCCAAGTTACTGTGGCACAAGGTGATGCGTGGAGATCAAGATGGGGGCGAGATGCTCGCTGAATGCGAGCTGTTCATGGTAAGAGTTTAAATCGTCAGGTCTCATTTCCATTATTATGCAGGAGCATCGACATTCAATTTATGAAAGTAAACAAGGAGGTGTAAGTTGAGTGATTATTTTTCTAGGATGAGGGAGCAAAGTTGCCACTCCCACCCCCTATGCGTGATGGTGTGTACCCTGTAAGGAGCAAGGTGCGGCCCGTCGTTCAGAAGACAGCTGTGGAGGTAAGATGTGATGATCTTCAGCTAATCGGAAATGTTCTTTAGGTGCACTGGCCTACAGAAGAGTACGCCCATACTGATTTCTTATCAAATACAATGTATGAAAAGCAGATTCGAACTACGGAATAAAAATGTTGATCGAGGAGATATTATGTCAGTCAGAAGCACCACTAAAGTCCTACTCTAAACTTAAGTCGTGTTTGGAAGCGAACAACGTAGGTATTTCTTAGGTGTACGAGACCCGCGCGATGGATTCACCTTACTTGAATCACTGTTTACTCGACTTAACGATCAGAAAATTGCTTTTAATTGTGTTGAAATTTTCAAAGGCCGTGAGAAGCGACTGCATGCTTGTAACCAATCAAAATTGAGACAGTGACACATGTTTAAAAAATTTCAATATTTAAAATAAAACTCTTTCTCTTCTCTTATATAGATTTTGACTAAGTACTGATTTAACTTTTCCAAAAACTGGTTTTGTGGCGCTGAAAACACTTTTTATATTTCAGTAAATGGAAAACTGTTCAGAGATCTCTTATTTCCAATGTACCGTAAAAACCCGCAGATAAGCCGCACCCGAAAATAAGCTGCACCCTGAATTTAGCAGCTCAAATTTTGGAAAAAAAAGTTTTTTGAAAGAAATCAAAAGAAATCCAAAGTCGAGCTTTGAGAAGTCTTCTTCATCTACAGTTCATCGAACGTAAACTCACGATTAACGGAAAATACTTCAAAGTCTTACCCACAATTTTAGCACTTTTATATAATGAACATCGTTTCTACCAACTTTGACATATGATTGATCTTTTTCTGGTATTTATTGACAGGAATTTCTTCATTCAACATAGTTTTTCCATAGATTTTTGCATTACAACAAGAACGTGAGCGGAAGATTCGAAGCTTAGTAACCAGGCATTGGATCGGACGCGAGTGAAAACATTCACGGCACCTTTTTCAAATGTTCCCGCAGAAAAGCCGCACCCCCAATTTCAAGCCACGATTTTTGGAAAAAAGGTGCGGCTTATCTGCGGGTTTTTATGTAATTGATTATGTATCCTTACGTAATTGATTATTTATCCTTAGGTTCTTTGTTGGGGCGTAAGGAACATGAAGAAATTTCAGTTGACCAAAGTAACATCACCCTCGATCGAGTTCGAATGCATGGGTTCGGTGATTGAGTCACCTGTTCTTGAGAACACAAAGAAAATGCCGAACTTTGGCGAACCAGTATTAGAGAGAAAGATTCTGGTAAGTCTCTTACATCAGTGGCAATCAGGCTGTTTGTATGTCTCTCTTTCTCTCTTTCTCTCTGTCTCTCTGTCTCTTTCCCGTATTCACTTCCACACCGTCAAAGTGTGTTCAGTTAAACACATTATTCTTGTTGAGCTGAATAAGTAAAGCTAATTCCTGGTTAACATCACCTAAAACTTGCAATGATGGAAGTGTCTGATAAACTTTGCGATCTGTCGTAGAATTTACCAGTGGAGGACTTGTACTCGCCACCAATCAACATTCGAGTCAGAGACAACCGACAATTTGGTCGAAAACCGTTGGTTGGTATCCACTCAGTCAAGTCTCTCTCGGCATTTAAGTGTAAGCTGCCGTCACAGACTGCTGCAGACGATTCGGAAGTGGATGGTACGTCATTACAATTTCCTTGTTCTCGTCACTATTATAGTTTCAATAATCGTCATTACTTCTGGGTCGCAAATAGTTTTCTTTTGAAATATTCTTTCGTTAAACGTAGGCATCTTAGGAAATGTTTAGAGAAGAGTATGGAGAATATGCATACTGATGTTAGGGTATAAAGGATTAAAGATGAAGTCTTTGTTTAGCCTGCATTGCGTCTCGCTGTCTCTTTAAAAAGTACCCTATGGGCTGTGACAGACCGCAGTCTTGTGTTCAATCTTGCAGAAGTGCTTGTGGATTTAACTGATGCCCCACCCCCTGAAAAGAAAGTTTGGCCTGAGAGAAGGGAAGAAGCTCCACCGCCTGAAAAAAAGCCAAAGGGGAAAGGAAAGGAAAAGGAAAGGAGGATGATCGTAAGCGGCAAAAGTTTTTTTGTAGACCCAATTACAAAACACTTTTTTTAAAGAATACTTCATCTTAAGGAAACGAATAAGCCGATGTAAAGAGTGTTTTGATTTAAGAAATGATTCTGGCGTTTAAGACTGTACTTTTTCTAAGGCACTTGAGTCCCTGATGAAGACTTGCGTGCTTATACATGAAAATTTATGTACAGCAGTAATGGTCCAAGTTAATCATATGAAATATCTCAAAATCGATTACTGACTGTAGAGCGCCTTTCAATTGATTATTATAAAGCCAAAACCAAAGGGATTACAACGACCAATCAGAGCAGAGAAAAATATAACAGGCAGCCAATGGGATCTTGAATTCAGAACGAGCTATTGATTTTTAAGTAAAGATTACATGCTCTTTCTATTCTGATTGGTTAAGGAAATGACGCATTTTTCTAGACCAATCACAAGGCAAATAAGAACAGAATACTTACGACCTAGAGAAAATTGCCATATAAATATACCTGATATTCTTCATACAGGATCCCGACAGGTTTGACTGGTGGTCCAAGTACTTCGCCTCTTTGCAAGGGGCTGGAGCAGGAGCAAAAATCTCTAAAGGAGAAAAGGTGCGAGGTTGTTTGTTATTTTAAATAGCTAATAGCTAATCATTTGCCTGCGTTTTAAATCATTTGCTCTATTAATTGCGTGATTCAGCGAAGAGTTCGCTTTAGCACAGAGGTACAGGGATAAAACAAAGAAGCGCGGAATCCAGGGTTTTGGGGATGGATTCCTTATAGGGAATCGCACTATATTTTTGGCCTTCGCAAATGAAAAGGCTACTAACAGATTTCTTTACTTGCATGATTTGCTGCTAAGTTTGCCATTCAACTGTCGTCTTAAGTGATACTCGGATTGCTAATAAAGAGACTGAAAAATTAGATAACTAAATATGGAAATTACCACTCTCTTTGTGTAGCTTGTTGGAATGTTTACGACAGACAAAGAAGGAGACAAAGCCAGCTTTACCGAACATACAAGGAAATACTTGTCCAGGGGATATGACACAATCAAGGTAAAAATTTCAACTTTGTTTGATGGCTGTTTGGTTGGTTTTTAAGTTTACCTTAAGTGTTAACTGGCCAGAAATTGTAAAGAAAGAAAACACAATCATATCGCAAGAAATAACGAATCGCACACGCAGTTTCAAGGCCTGTTCAATTTTACCCGTAGATTTCTTCTGATATCTTCTTTCTGAGAGAGAGAGAGAAAAAACTCAAGTGATAGTCTTCTCAAAACAACCCATAGCATTTTTGAAATAGCTCCACCTCGATAAATTGGTGAATGACCCACAACAATTCATAACTGTTCTCTGGGTTTTTGTCTAGGTGTATCACAAAGAGCTTGAAAAAGTCCCAGAATTCCAAGGCTTCAGCGACTTCCTTGCAACCTTTCCACTTCGTCGTGGAAAGACAAAGTCTCACAAGGATGATGACGAAGACGAAGGATCGGTTGGTGAATTCAAGGTGCGAAAAAACCTAGATAAGCTAAAGCAGCTTGCATTCCTTCCCTTCTAGTGATACTCAAACATTTGTTTGGAAACGAGTTTAATTTACATGTGAATGAAAACTTACAATCACATGAAAGGATGAGCACTAAGACTCGCTTTCAAAATGAGGCCAAAGGTAATTCAGAAATGGCCTCTTTATGTCTAACCTGAATAAGAAGACGCAAGCTTTTAAACTCAGTTAGTTACGAACGGTAATGATGTAAAATTATTTCAGGACTCTTAAGGCTTAAAGTTACAATACTACAGACTTGCATGTAAATCTTCTTCATGGTCTATTTCTTTAGGGAACTTTCCGTATTTACCCTATTCCTGATGAGATGTCGGATACAGATCTTCCTGAAACAATGCTCACTAACCTTCCCAGCAGCTTACCAATCGAGTGCACAATTCGAGTGTACGTTGTTCTGGTAAGTTCGCACCCATCGATTTTCAGTAAACTTCGAGTTCTAGTCGATATAATGGTCTGACGAAGGGCTAGCGCTCGAAAACCAGGTATAGAAACTGTACAGTGGCCAATTTGCATGGACAATTCATTTGATGAAACTAAACTATCTCGTTATACCCCTCCCACTGACGCAGCACCTCAGTTTCTTTTACTCCCTTTGGTGAAAAGTATTTGGTTTGGTTGAGTTTATGTGCTCTTCGCAAAAAAACGAAACAGTCATTCATCTTTGCTTTTTCGGTATTTTCATTTTTTGTTCCTTTGGATCAGCTGTACGTTGTTTTCCGCAGTACATCAATTGTAAAAACAGCTTAAAATTTCGATTTTTTTCCACATAGGCTACTGATCTCCAGCCCCAAGATCCAAGTGGATTGGTGAGTGTTACTGTTGTTGCTTTTGCTGGTGTTGTTGTTTTTGTTATTGTTCTTGTTGTTGCATTGTTATTTTTGTTTTCGTCGTGGTCGTCGTTGTCAAGGCTCATGCTGACAAATTTTCCACAGTATTGTGAGTACGTTTTTTTTTTTTTTTGTACGTATCCTTTTACTAGGTTTGGATTTACAACTATCACGAGTGGTATTTAATTCATATACTTTTTGTTTTTTTAACCCTGGCAGGCTGACCCTTATCTCATTGTGTCCCTTGGAAAGAAGAAATATGACGATCAAGAAGACTTCAAACCAAATACGCTCAACCCGGTGTTTGGAAAGTAAGTTGTTGCATGTCACAAATTGCAGTCCTCAGATTCATGCACTGCTTTCAACATGCATCACTGGTAAGCTTCGTTGTAAATACCAATGATCTTTTTCTTTTTTCCTTATCGTAGGATGTTCGAATTCAAAACTTCCATCCCTCAGGAAAAAGATCTAAAAATCCAAGTGATGGACTACGACTACCTCAGCAGGGACGATTTGATCGGTGAAACGGTGGTCGACTTGGAACAGAGGCTGTTGACTCGCTTCCATGCAAAGTGTGGTTTACACAAGACATACTTCGTGTAAGTTTGCAGATCTTAACTAACTTCATGCATCATTTCTTTTCAAATAAAAATCATAAGCACTTGAGGATTTTAAAGGTAGTTTCCAGGGGAAACGTCTAAAAAGTTGCAGAAAATCGACACAGAACAATTGAGCTATCTTAGCGCGTTAGTTTGCCTTTATTCTTGTAGAGAGAAAAAAGCTTAAGACTAATAGGAGTTAATTACTTTTATATGCTTCTTTGTGATACGTCACAGTTAACCAAAAACGAAATCTTAAGCAAAGCTGTGCTCCTAGATCATTTAAACGCTTTTTTCACCTGAGAGAAATGCTCGAAAGTAATTGTTGAGTCATTGCTTTTGATTCACTTTCACTTTCATTTTTCATCGGCACTTTATTACATTTACTTAACGGTTGGCGTTTGTTTCTCTTTTAGGTCTGGGCCCAACGCTTGGCGCCATCCTGAGAAGCCATTCAGTATCCTTACGAGGTACTGCGAGACTGCCATGAAGTCCTTCAACTTCTTCCCTGGCAAAAATCAGAATCCTGACAGGATCATAATTGGAGACAGAGAATATACCTTGAGTCAATTCGGTAAGAAAGCATTATTTTCATTTGACATAACCTTGACTTTGGGCTTGGAAAATATTTGACTGAATTAACGTAGAATCCGATAACAGAATTCAACCCTTTGACTCCCACAAGTGATCAAGAGAGAGTTTCTTCTTACACTATCAAGAAAATATCAAGATAATCGACGAGAAAAAAATAACAGTTAGGGGATTATTGGTTGATCTAATACCGAATTTTTCGAACTATATAACATTATCATGGCAGACCGTAGGAGGAATTACTAATGAGATCTTAAGAGCAAAAGAGTTGAGAAGAGATCCTCACCTGTCTGAATAACCATTTGATAAGAACATGCATCATAAACAAAAATAAACTATCAGAGTTTAGCGTTAAAGGGGAGGTATCCCTAAAATTTCGCCTTTGCTACATATGTTTGTTCTACGGGTATTTATTTTCTCGCAATTTTGATTTCCTTGCACTTACAACTCGATTGACTATTTATCATGATTCACAGAGGAAGGTGATCCGCCAGAAAAGGAAGTAGGACCTGCTCACGAACGTTTGGCTCTTCACATTCTGCACACGTTCAATATGGTACCGGAGCACGTGGAGACCAGATCCCTGTACAGTCCGGTTCAACCAGATATTGAGCAGGTATGGAGCAAGTTTTGAAGTATCGTCATCCTACCACTGTATTTAGCAGTCGCTAAACTTTCCTTCTTCATTAATTTTTTAATTCATTTTCTATGTAGGGAAAACTTCAAATGTGGGTCGACATCTTTCCAAAGGACGACGGTACCTGCAAGCCGCCTGTTGTTATCGACGAAAGGAAACCTGTGAAGTGAGTGAAACTAGTTCTAGGTCTGCTCTTTTCGTTTCATATAAGAAACACTGTACCTGAGATGGTTAAAATAGCTGAAAAATCGATCTAAACGTAACAAGTGGGATATTCTGTGACATAGGGACTGAGGTGTGCCGTCTACTCGCATTATTATTAGTTACTTGAAGCAAAAAAAATGCATCGGTGATTCTTCCCAGCAATGGAGCTAAAAAAAATTTATCCTGAAAGTAAATTAGAGCATTTGCTAGTTTCTAAAGAAATTTCTCTGCTACCTCAGCCGATTTAAGTCACTAAAACACTTAGTAGGTGATCAACTGTAAGATGATGGAACTGGATAAACTGCTGAAGTAAATTTCAAAAGATGACTTTCCAAGTGAAACCCTCCCGAAGAAAATAAGTGCCGGAGTTTCAAAAATTACCTTCAAATCGGATTCATCGATTTCCGTTTATTGAATTTTTTCACGATGTTTTGTACCGATAGAAATGAGTTGCGTCTAATCATCTGGAATACAACTGACGTTTTGCTAGAGGAGGAGTCGATCACGGGCGAGATGATGAGTGACATTTATGTCAAGGCGTGAGTACCTCCTCGTTGCTGCTTTTATATGAAAAAAAAATACTTTTGCCTTTCTCATTAAAAAGGCTGATTTAATATAGACAATAATATTTGTACACTGGGATTTTTCTTAGATGGATCGACGTTCAAAACGAGAAACAGAAGACGGATGTTCATTACAGGTAAAGTTAAGGAAAAGAGAAATATGATGTAAATCTAAAGACTTCAACATCTGAACGCTTCGACCCCTAAAAGCGACTAGCTTAATTTCCTCTTAATTTACCCCTGAAGCACACAATAAGGTGATTAGGATTAAGGAAATGATTAACAACTGTAGAAGCTTTTGATTGTTAAACAGATTCTCCTCGTCAGAACCATAAGAAATGTATAGAGAACAGTATGGAGAATATGTATACTGATGTTAGGGTGGAACCGGGTTAAAGAGTTAAACTCCGCCGGAAACAAAAATTGTTGTTCGTTTACGTAAAGGATTCACTAGTTACGTTTCTACAACTAACAGTGCCAAATTGAAATTGGTATACAATGCAATATTGTTCTTTCTTTCCGGAATTTGGTCAGTATTTTCCAAATTCATTGTACATGTAACAGCTTTTCATCCCCTAAGGAATTTAACAGTCATTTCGCTTGACTTTCTCTCTCTCCCTCTCTCTCGTTTTATTGAACGGCTTCACTTTCCACAACAACTTAAGGCTAAACAATTGAGGACAAATTTCATACAATAATAGAGATAAAAATCCTTAAAACTGGCTTCCTCCTATCCTTAACATAAATAATTTCTTTCAAGCTCTTCCGCTTAAACGTTTATTCCTAAGAGTGCTTTGATTGATTGAAACAGATCTCTGGATGGCGATGGCAACTTCAACTGGCGAATGGTGTTTCCTTTTGACTACTTGCCTATCGAGAAGAAATTGGTTGTAAAAAAGAAGGTAGTGCAACAGACAATACTCAGTTACTTATTTTTCAGTTGATGTCAACTTGTTAAAAGTTTGTTTTCGAAAGAGAAAGTATGATTAAAGCTTATTGTATTCGTAGGAACACTTCTGGAGTCTTGACGAGACTGAAGAGAAAGTCGACGCAAAACTCAAAGTTCAGATTTGGGAGAACGACACATTCTCTAGTGATGACTTCATAGGTAGGCAATTATAGGCCCGCACATCGTATAAAGAAAATCTTTCACCGCCATCTATGGAAATCGATGGTCATATCTCTTCAGGACAGAAGGTGTCCGTACACTAATGACGGTGACGTCCTAGGAAATGTTCAAGGATTAGTCATAGAATTCGATTGAGCCTCGCTCCGAGGCTCGACTCCTTGACAAGAAAGACGACTCCTTCGTCTCGCGATATGTTATTCATGATATTTTCTCTTCTGGGTTTACTAGTGTGTACCCTCAAGACACATTGTACCAAGAAGTGCGTATTCTCACCAACTTGTGGCACATTGACGAAGTGATATTCTGCTAAGTATTTTCTTACTGTGTTTCTCTGTTATACACAGGACAACTAGAGCTAAATCTGAATGAGCTGGCAAAGCCTTGTCTTGACTCTGACCACTGTGGTGATCCTAACAAAGATCCAGGACTTAATGGAAAAACCCTTGACTTGTTCACGGTAAAAAGTACAAAAGGTTGGTGGGCCTGTTTTAAGCCAGATGCCGAAAACCCGGCTGAACCAACGGTAAGTGTCATACACGCTCAAAGATTTTTTTTACTTGGCCTTTCCGCCAAGGAACCCTTAAATTCTAGAAGATGGTGGGTGAAAATTAAATTTCCAACTAAAATAACACTGGAAATGTATACCAGCATCTTAAAGAGTTTCTTTTTAGTTCGTTCCATTCCAAACTTTCATTTTACTAGAGTGGCGTCTCACTCGAGAAAAATCAACTTAGGAATATGATATTTTTTCAAATTGTTTAATTCAAAATCAATTTGTTATGCAATTTCGTAATTTGCGAAACAATGACTCGTCGTTGTATCACACGCTAGGATCTCCTCTATATACATTCATCGTGCTCAATATTTCAGCTGTTATATTCTCTCTCATTGTTATCGCAGGGTAAAGTTGAGATGACCATTGAGTTACTCCAGGGATGGGAGGCAGAAGCAAAGCCCGCGGGACAAGGACGAGATGACCCCAACATGCACCCAGTTCTGCCAGAACCTGAGTAAGTGTAGAGAGTAAGCTGTGTTTACCACAAAGGTAGACGGCTCATAAAGCAATTTTCAATTGTGTGTCAAAGGAAATCCAACGAAAACTCGCGCCATCTCTCTTCCAATCAGATGCAAAATTAGAGCCTTGAATCAATAATGAAGGTAGTTTGCTGGTGTTTGCTTCAATTGGCTCCTCGTTATGTTTTCTTGTTTCTGATTGGCCGATTACTTTGGTTTTGACTTTAAGATTCTTAGTTGAAATGCGCACTACAGCGTGCCTGTCTTTTTTCAGAGAGGTACTTGTTGAGAAATAACTTACTTTACCTCTACTTAATCCTTCTGTGATTGGTATTTGGGCTTGTAAATCGTTAATCGATCATGATTCATTTGTCACCAGCCGTCCTGCTACCTCGTTCCTGTGGTTCACATCACCATTCAAGACGCTGAAATACATCATCTGGCGACGATACAAATGGCTAATAATTCTTCTCCTCATCTTGCTCATTGTTGGTTTGTTGATTGGCATCTTTATATACAGCATGCCTGTAAGTTCACTGTCTTGTTTTTGAAAGCATTACTATAATTTATAAAACCACGCACTGTAGCTCATGTATGGCTGCATGGATTGTAACATACCATGAAAAAGGTATTATACACGAAATATAAATGCAGTATAGTTCATGAAAGCCCTTACGGTGTACATTGTACCTGCGAGTACACTGTTGTGTGTTCAGGACGTTTAGCAAATGAGACAAACTCTCAGAAAAGTTTGCAGATGTTTACATAAGTTATAAAGAAAAGCCCTTTGTTTGAGGATCTTATGATATAACATCGAAAGTAATCAAGGATTTCATTGCCTTTGCTCCACTTCACGAAGTAATGTTATTGGTCTTCGCTCTTTGACCCTAAGAGAAACCAACATCTAATTTTTCCCCACAATATCACCCCTTAATCACGCATTAAAATCGCAAGAATAAAGGAAATTATCGCCAACTAAACAAACGCTTGATTATAATCAAATTCACCTAGTCTGCACTTTAGGAAATATATGGAGAATTTGCATACTGATTTTAGGGTGTAAAGGGTTGACTGACCTGTACCCCGCAACTACTCACATATACGCGACACAGCAAAACCAAACGGGTCACTCACTCAAAATTTCCTGCACTTAGGAGTAGTTGTTCTGATTGGTTATAATATGAATTTGGTTTTGGTTTTGGTTTACGCCATTTACAACAGCACATCAAAAAGCCCTTTAACGGGATTTGTATACATGTTAAACCTTTCATTTTATTATCGTTTTAGGGTTACACCGTAAAGAAGATATTTGGTGCTTAAAGTTGGCAGATACGGCAACAGTACAAGATCAGCGATTTTTGGGAAACTTCTGTTTCCTTTACCTGAAGACAAATTTATCCCAAAATTTCCTTAAAAACATTAAACAAACTCTAAAGCTGTTAGGTAATTTCCTTAGAATGCAAATTGATAAGGTCCATTAAATTTCATATTAGCTCAAGAAAATGTTATTCTGCTGGTTCTCCATTAGAAAATCTTCAAATCTTCCACAAAGGACTGAATTTTGAAGAAACTATTCTTCCCACAAGGCATGATGATATCGATCTCTGCGTAGAGAGTACAAACAGGCTTTCTCCAATGCTCAAGTGTCTGATGTTTAATTTTAGTTAGTTTCTAATGATTGAAATTGTCAGCAGTCGCGTGACTCATTGAGACTGCTCAGGAGAGCGGTCGTTAAAAATGTAATGAAAGCAAAAAAGGCTTAAAGATAATGCGAGAATTTTTGTTAAAATTTCATATCGTTCATAAGATGCTATTTTGCAGGTATTATTTCATGGGAAAATGGAAATAAATCAATGTTGAACAGAATTTTCATTTGTATGGAGCTAAATTCATTCTTGTGTGTTGGGTAGGATATCTGTGCAAATTGGTAAGTGGGGAAGGAGCGCGGGCTCATATTCCCGAACAGCAGCTGATAATCGCGCCTGGATTATAGCGCGCGCAATGACAAAACGAGCATAAGTGAAGTCCGCCACAGTGAAATAATTATTTTTTAATCGTCGAATCTATTCATTAAATCATGCTCACCCGTTTTGAACTCAGAAAATGGCTGAAAGCCATGTCCGAGTTGTTGTTATGACCCCAAATTTACTCCCTCCCATCCATCACTTCTTCCTTCCATTCCTGTTAACTTTGTGGTAAGTCCACTTTCGAATGTTTAGTTCATGCATGAGGCTCAACTGATACCTGAGAATTGGTCAAAGATCTAACAGTCCAATGAGAAATAACGCATATTTATCTAACAGCTGAGATGTGAGATGAGCAAATTTTACTGATGGATGAAAGATGACCTGAATTTAAGACTGCGTGGATAAGGTTTGCCTAAAACATAATATCTCCAAACTGTACTCCGGAATGATTCGAATCTACTTTTTTCAAAAGCAGGAAAAGGAAAGACAAACACTGCGCTTCGGTAATTGGCTTCTTAAACCGAAAAAAAGATGCCGACTGCTGCACAATAACTGATGACGCTCTAAGCGAAAAGAGGGGAAAAAAACAAGTTTTTGAGGAAGAAATTAAATATGAAAAAGGAAAAAGAGAAGAAAAAAAAAGACGCTTGGGATCTCAGACCTCTCGCTTGAGACGAGAGGCCCTTTCCATTGCGCCTAGTAGGCATAGCGTGCTTACGTGTAGTAGACCTGAGTACGCGAGACCTTCTTTAACCGACGCCTAGGAAACAAGGGCGAAAAGAATTCTTAAGGTGTAAATAAACCTAAGAATATAATTTGAAAAATATAGTATTGGTGCTCGCAAATTTTGATATCTTCCATAAATCGAAAGGGAAGCAACACGGTCCGTCACTAATCAGTATGGACCAAAATTCGGTTCTTGAGAATTACTTTTTATGCAAATAGTGAGCCCTCGCTCACCGGCGAGAACTCTGATAACGAGGTTGTTTAGTTCTTCTGACTGCGGAGACTGGGAATTACTACAACTACCATGTGGACCATGGAGAGTAGGATAGCAGTAACAATATTATCGTTTGACATAAAACTCTGAGATAAAAGGGCCCTTCAGCATCACCTGGCTCTTAAAGCACACTTATCTTTACACGGTTCCTTCATCTTAATTTAATAGGAATGGTTTCCGTGGCTGCCAAACACAAAAATGGTTGATGTCCACACACTCGCCGCTGGACACCGAAACATCTGAAGTCGTGCAGTGATAAGGTATTTCTCAAGGATGTTTCGTTTTGCAGAATTTTATTTAAAATTTGATTTTAGAGACGGTTTTCTCGCTCATTATGTTTTTAGTTCTGGTAAGCAACTGTTTAATTTATTCGTTTTGATATTATTTTTATACCTGAACGCGGGAAATTTAAATCTAATCCTGAGAGATCTGCACTCTGATTGTTACATCTATTGTAGACAGGGTAGATAGTTGTATCTATAGTAGACTACAGTGTAGATAGCTGTATCTAATATGTACAATGAAGACAGATTAATCTCAAGGTTAGGCAGTGTGGATAGATTTATTTTCTGAAGTCAGTGTCAGTGTTAACTACTGGTCTTGCAAGAGAGATTGAAATATTTTTGTCTGTCAAAAAAAATTGCTAAAGCAAAAAAAACAATTAAAAAAAACAATAAGCACAGGTTAGAGGAAAATTCTAAAATTTACATGGGAATTAAAAAAGTCTTGTCTTTGGTCGAGGAAGAGTCATCTTTTAGATGAGAAAAGTTGTAAACTATCACCTGAAAGTATACAAATTTAAGAAAAGAAGTCATTGAATGCGATGTGCTTTCACATCATGCAAAGCCCTCTGCTGACTTAAACCTTTTTCTTGGAAGTTCCATTTCACAGTGAGCTATTTACTACACAATCTAATTTGGGTTCAAACCATTTACTGAACAAAGAGGAAATGTTTGAATTCATGAGGTGACTGGTTTTTGATGAGATGGTATTCAATGATACATGCTGATTATTTATTTTTATGTGTGCAATGTCATATTCCAAGGACTTATGAGCATCACACAGCAAGCTTTTAACAATTTCAATCCCTGCTCTTTGTTTTCTGTGGTACAACAACACATTGTACATGTACTTTTAAGACAAAAAATTTCTTCTATGTTGTTGGTGAAAATAATGAGCTGGTCAATTTGAAGCTTCTTCAACATTAAGCCTAGTCAGAAAACCCAGCTGTATTTTTTAAGTTTGATGTTTCTGAGGTACATCTAGTTATCAAAAATTCTCACATGATACCAAGACTTTTTAGACAAAATTATTTCATTCCAACTGCCAACTTTTTTCTAGTGTTGCCAGTGAAAACTAAGCTTTATTTTTTAAGTTTGATAATTTTGATGTACATCTACATGTATAGTCAACAGTCAACTATTCTCCACAAGCTGAAAACTGGTATTGTATAGAATATGAAAATAGTTATAAAATTTTTTTTGGTATAAACTGTTATGTACTGAGTTCTTTTGTAAAATGTTATGAAAAGAAATTTGGATTACATTTGTAGAGAATTAAAGCTTTTTTAAGGCAGATGAATTGACGGATTTTCTGATGATCTTCCTGATTAATGACAGACTGATATGTTCAGTCATTTTTTTCTTTTTACATTTTAAAGGTGAAAGGTGCTTAAGATCTTTACAAAGCTGTTCAACACAACTAAGCACATAACTGCGTTTTGATACTGAGACAACAGGGAAATACTTTTATATTGTAGAACTTAACAACCTCTCCTTGAGAGTCATTCATAAGTTTTTCTTTTTCCTTCCCAGGGTTGCAAGATGTTCTCCTCTAGTCTGGTAGGGTTTTTGGTGGTGCAGGTGATTTATCAGATAAGTATCATTTTAGTATACTAGAAATAAAAAGCCTGAGTATGTGAAAACTTGGTCATTTGCCAAAAAAAGGAAAAGGAAAGATAAAACCTGTTTCCAAAACTGTTAAATGTTTATGCTTTGAATTGAAGAGCACTTTTTGCAAGAGATGGGTAATGAAGTGTTGAGCCAGTAAAGAGTCAGTGTCACCCAAAAAGTATCTTCTTTGGTCTTCATCTCTGCATGATGCAAATACTTGGTTCTACATGTAAAGGAAAAATTCTTGGGGCACTGGACTGTTATTTCAGTTTCATCTCAGCCTATAAAACTCTTTTTTAGTCTTTATCAGTAATGCAAAGACTTGGTCCCCCAAAAAAGGGGAAAATCTGATTTAGAGATTGGACTGTCTATGCACTGATCAGGTGTTTAACTTTGCATAGGAGATAGGTAACTAAAAGCTGACCTGCTAGGGAGCTGTTTCAACCTGCACAACTCTTTCTTAGTCTTGATCTGTGATGCTAAGACTTGGTCCCCCCCCCAAAAAAATGAAACTGTTTCAGACACTGGACTGTCTTTATGCACTGATCAGATGTTTGACTTTGTACAAGAGATGGGAGACTTAAAGCTGGCCCTTTAAGGGGTTGGTGTCACCCTGCACAACTCTTTCTTAGTCTTGATCTGTGATGCTAAGACTTGGTCCCTGAAAAAAAAATAAAACTGTTTCGGACACTGGACTGTCTTTATGCGCTGATCAGATGTTTGACTTTGTACAAGAGATGGGAGACTTAAAGCTGGTCCCTTAAGGGGTTGGTGTCACCCTGCACAACTCTTTCTTAGTCTTGATCTGTGATGCTAAGACTTGGTCCCCAAAACAAAAAAACTGATTTGGACACTGGACTGTCTATGCACTGATCAGGTGTTTAAGTCTGCATAAGAGATAGGTAACTAAAAGCTGACCCACTAAGGAGCTGTTTCACCCTGCACAACTCTTTCTTAGTCTTGAACTGTGATGCAAAGACTTTGTCCCCAAAAATGTGGGAAAAACTGTTTCGGACCCTGGACTGTCTTTATGCGCTGATCAGGTGTTTGACTTTGTACAAGAGATGGGAGACTTAAAGCTGGCCCTTTAAGGGATCAGTGTCACCCTGCACAACTCTTTCTTAGTCTTGATCTGTGATGCTATTGACTTGGTCCCCCCCCAAAAAAAAAACTGTTTTGGACACTGGACTGTCTGTATGCACTAATCGGATGTTTGACTTTGTACAAGAGATGGGTGAATAAAAGCTGACTCACTAAGGAGTTGGTTTCACCCCACACAACTCTTTCTTAGTCTTGATCTGTGATGCAAAGACTTGGTCCCCAAAAAAAGAGGAAAAACTGATTCGGACACTGGACTGTCTTTATGCGCTGATCAGATGTTTGACTTTGTACAAGAGATGGGAGACTTAAAGCTGGCCCTTTAAGGGGTTGGTGTCACCCAAACAATCTCTACCTTAGTCTTGATCTATGATGCAAAGACTTGATCCCCAAAAAAGAACATAAAATTGTTTCGGACACTGGACTGTCTTTATGGGCTGATCAGATGTTTGACTTTGTACAAGAGATGGGAGACTTAAAGCTGGTCCTTTAAGGGGTTTGTGTCACCCTGCACAACTCTTTCTTAGTCTTAATCTCTGGCGCAAAGTCTTGGTCCCCAAAAAATAGAGTCGAATAAATACGAGGCAAAAATATTTTTTTTACCGATAAATATCACAGTTTTTAATAAAATCGTGGAAGCAGAGTTCAGGATTTAAATGTCGAAATCTCATTTCGTCTCTTTTTAAAATCAGCAGTTAATTTTTTAAGCAGTTAGGTTTTCTCGAGCAGATCCTTTTCACTGTAAACCTACAAAGTAATCCACTCGATTCACTGCTTCACTAAACCGCCAAATCGAAGAGCTGAGTTGGTCTCGAATTATACAAGAAATATTCTCCTAGATACCAAACTTTTGCAGCGTTTCCCGGTAATGATGGCATCCGAAACTTTCGTTCTTATGAACTTTCACGT